CAGCCAAGGAGAGGTAAAAACTTACACTCTAGGCAACATGGGCCAGTGGTCTTGCCAATCCTAGCAGCTCAAGCCTGTAAGGACTGAGGGTCACAAAGAGTCAATGTTCCCCCAAGATCTGATGCTCTGTAGCAGTAAGAGCCAAAAAAAAAACCTGGGGAGACCCAAGAATAGGTGTCTTATCACCAAGATCTGCCTTTGCACTTGACTGATGGGACCACGAATCCCTTGCTTTGGGTGGTAAAAGCTTCAGCCTCCCCATCCCCTGAACTGTTGACTGCAGAGCAGCCCCCTTACCTTTGTAGAGCCCATGCATCCTTTATGATAATGTGTAGGACTTTTTCCTATTAAAAAGGGATGCTACCGCAGTTTGACTTGACAGTCAGATACAGAAGTGGAAGGACAGAAAATTGAAAGAGAGTAGAGTCCATGCCTTTCAGCATGTCCTTAAAAGATGTGATTAGAAATCTTATCTTGACTGCTAATAGGTCTATGCTCTAAAGAGCTATAGAAGATTACTGAATATTGTTAGAAAATCCTGCAAATTGATTTTTTTTTCTTACAGGAAAGGAAAAGTTATTTTTCTATCAGTGACTAAATATTTAAGGGATTTCAAAACTACAATGCTGGAAGAAGGCAATTTTGTTATATTAAGGAAACCTGCCCTAAAAGAAGCCACAGGAGTATGATTTAAACATCTTAGCAGAGATAGTTGTCATCAAATATGAATATTCTCTTCTTAGGAAATAAGGTTTAGTTATTCCTGAAGGAGATAACATAACTAGTTACACCAACTACAGAAGAAATCTATTTTCTTAGCAGTAAAGCTGCATATTCCTGACCAATCAGCTCCTGTTAATAAACTCCCTTTGTTCTGATGGAAAGGTTGAAGGGCAAGGGGGTGGGGTGGGAGAGAGGAGAAGAAATGTCTAACCCTCCTCCCCCCCATTAGGTTTATTCACTTCATTCAGGTCAATCTTTGGTCATCTTAGAAGCCCCTGTTAAATTTAAGAAAAAACAACAGATGTGGATGAATATAATCTAATTCCTCTTGCCATGTGACCAGTGCGGCCTCCTGAACACCTTAAAGATGGAAAGCACATCTATTAATGTTATGCTAGCAATAACAAAAACCTGACGGTTTCCACCCCCTCTCCAAAACCTCTTTCCCTGAAGAGTCTTTACCTACCAAATATGAAACCACAAAATCAGTAGGGTAAATACCACTCCAACGACAATGCTTGCAAAACCCTACTAACTCTTAGCTGTGGCAATTCCAAAGGCCCGAAGGCTGGGGTTAACCCTAATGATAAGACAAAAATGGCACTTGAGTTTGTTCTGTTGTACAAATGGTTACTGGATAGTTTATATCATACCTGTATAGATCTGAGCCAAGTAGTCTACAGAGGCTGATATGACCAGAGTTATGGAAAAATCGTTTTTACAATTAAAGTTCCCATTTTAACATGAATACATGGGTTGTAATCACTCTGTGCCTGGTGGTAAGGGGCTTGGATGTGCCTGGGCTTATGTTGGGACATGCTGATCCTTGGGGGATGCCTGAAAGGTTGCTGCTTCTAGAGGTCCACCATTCCTTTCGGGACAGCAGCCATCCCTAGGAAGTCAAGGAGGAGAGAGGATAAATTTACAAGTTCATCTTGAAGAGAAAATTCATTATTCCACTTCAGTTGAATATTCCAGCTTCAAGAGTGAGTGATGCAATTAAGACCAAACATCTGTTCCACAAATATTTTTGTGGAAAATATTAGGGAGTAAGTACTGGAACTAACTTTATTCGTAACAGAAACCTCCTTTGCTAATGCCTGCCTGTCAGGATCTTCTCTATAACTTATTTTATGGATTCTTAACCTGGAAGTTCACAAACCATGTATTTCAGGTGGTAGTAAACTTGAATGGAGTAAAAAAAAAAAGTAATACCTTTATTTTCACTCTAATTGAAATTGAGAATCTTTCAATTATGAATATAGGCAAGAAACCACAGTATTACTTCACTAGACTACCTACACCAAAGGGATCTACTGCACAAAAAGTTAAGAATCCCTGTCTTGAGGTTTGCCTGCAGCAGAGGTATCAAATGTGCTGCACCAGATAAATGTAATTGGGAAATATTTAGTGAAACAAAAATACAGTAGAACACAGATGATGTTAATACGTAGTTTTTAAAGTCAATATGCAGCCTGCAGAGATCCTGATGTACAGTGTAGTGACCCAGTTTCTATCTGAGTTTGACAATACTAGCTTACAGTACTGAAAAATTAAGTCATTTATCCAGGGACATACTGCCAATATCATTTGTTAAAAATTTTATTCTAATGTAGTAATCTATTTTTAAAATGTGGTTAATGATAAAGGTTAGGTTTTATTTCATTAAATTTTTTTTTTGGTAGAGGGCAGTGTTGTGCCCTGAGACCATTTACTGTCGATAAGCAGCTTTGGAATAAAAAACCCATTCTGTTCCTTCTTTAGTGTCTCGTCAAAGCAAACCAGCATCAACATATTTACAGAAATATGTTGTTCTAAGTAGAACGTTTTGATACCAGGTTTCTTGCTGCCCAGTGCTACCCCTACAGATGTTTCTTTATAAGATAAAGTAGAGGGTAGGCTACGTGGTGCAATGCATAGAGCCCCAGCTCTGGGGTCAGGAAGACCTGAGTTGAAATCCAGCTTCAGACACTTAATACTTTCTAGCTCTGCAACTCTGGGCAAGTCACTTAACCCCAACCCTCACCAAAAAGAAAAAAAATAAGGCATAGTATGGAGAAAAGCAAAGAAATAACATCACAATATGGATATATATTCTCAAAGAGACAGAAGAGCAAATTCACAGGAAGAGTTGGCCTTACAATTTCACTAGTAAAATAAAGCTGTATAATGTAGAACGAATACACACACACACACAATGTAGAAAACAAAATACATATATAAATATATAATATAGAAAACAAAAACCAGAAATGTACTTCCACTTAAAATGTTAACATTAAAAACAAAAATGGATGGTGGCAGTATATAATACTAATTCTGTTCAATACTTGCCCTCCACCATCAATCCAAATGCACAATTTGGGTAAGCGACTAAAGTAATGGAGAAAATAGCCCAGAAAACTAGGTAGCTGCTCTGTTTCAGATAAGAAACTCACAAGTCAAAACATGGAAGGAGGAAAACAAATGGTTTTTGCTGTTTATAGGCTCTGTTATAGAAAACAATGTTACAGAAAACACCCCATATATTGCATAAGGGGAGGGGGGAGAGAAACAATTGACATTTAAATAGCTCTTTATATTTTTACATACATTGTATCAGCTGATTCTCAAAATGCCCCTGTAAGGCAGGTAGTATAAGTATTTCTCATTTTATAGGTGAGCAAATGGAGGCATAAAAGCTTAATTAACTAGCCCACAGTGCAGCAGCTACTAAGACAGCCAGGATTCGAATCCTAGTCTTCTGACTCCAAATTTGGCGATCCTTTCTACAACTAGAAATTACTACCCCTTTTTTTTTTGGCTTTTTGGTGAGGCAATCTGAGTTAAGACACTTGCCCATGGTCACACAGCTAGTAAGTGTCAAGTGTCTGAGGCCATATTTGAACTCAGGTCCTCAAAATTACTATTTTTTACAATCATGATCACTTCTCCCTGGGGAGGGGCTGAGGAGAAGAGGAATGATAGATAGGCTGTCTTTAAATATATTTGAACCTACTCAAAATCAGGCAGTCTAGTTTAATATAAAGAACACAGGTCTAGAGTCAGAAGATGTGGATTCACATACTAGATATGTGACCATGAGCAAATTGTTTAACCTAATTGAAATCTTTCTTTATCTGAAAAATGAGGATAATATTTACATAAAACTTATCTCATAAGGTTGCTGCAAAGGAAGCATTTTTGAAAACCTGAAAGCATTACAAATGTTAAGTTATTATTAAAGCTCCTACTTGAGAAAGAGGAAGCACAAGTGAAATATAGAAATATATGTTAAGACAAATTAGGCAAGCTTGGGAGGAGATATGTTTTGGTTTTTTCAGGGGGTGATGGGAGGCAAGGTGAAGAGCTGGAGAGAAAATTCTGCTCCGAGCCAACTTTCCTTCAGGACTTTTTGTTTTTTCCTTTCCTGAACTGCGCTTATATTCATTTAAAGGTTCAAAATCAGGTGCATCACAATATCATATTCCAACTTAAGGGAGAAGCCACTATATATGTGTTTTCTGTTAAGGCAGGGTCAAGTCAAGAGGAAAATGAAAATGAGGGTTTGCAAACAAGGGCATCACCTCAAGAAGTACCAGGGCCAGAAAAAGCCTCCAGGGAAAAGAGCGCCACCCTAAAGGGCAACAGCAAGTGAGTGGATTTAATACTTGAAGGAACTGTAATTTTATCAGTGCAGATACTCCCACTAAGTAAAAAACCTCTCTATGACCATGCACTACTGTAGGTGAGGAGAGGTTGCTATCTCCTGCAGCCAAACTGGGAATGAAATGGCCAGACTGGCCCCAGAGAGGAGGAGCAGAGTCTACTACCAAGCCCATACTCAACCCTTCCCAGGTGAGTAGGACCTGAGTTTCTATTCCACTGGCCTTGCTTTGAGGAAGAAGGGTCACCTTCTGGTCATGTTGACACATCAGAGGAGCACTGTGGGGGCTGGGGGTAAAAGATGACCCCACCCTTTTCCATTTAAACATGTGCTGTTTGGCGGTGTAAGAAACTCGTTGAAAGTCAGGATACACACCAGGGGAAACCAACATCAAAAAGGGTAGACTGTCGAGACAAAAACTGCAGCATGCTTTTAATAGAAGATGGCAGCACAACAGATGGTAAACAGGACATCTGGGGATGCTCCAGGTGGCAGAGGGCACTCTGCACAAGAAGGCCCCGAGATAACAAGGTGCTGCTATTCAGAGTGTGGTCCCCGAGCACAGCCTGACAGTCTTGCAGCGCCCCCACGGCTCCTCGAGAAGAGCTGACTTCTGTCCCCTTGTCCATGGTCACTGCACAGGCACCTGGAGCATCTTCTCCCTCTGTCGTGGGTCACAAAAGAACTGGAGCTTCTTGGGCAGCAGCGTCACCTCCACACGCATGGCTTCATACTCTTCGCTGTCAATGCTGAAGGAGCCACCTGTTCCCTGTACAGAAGAGACGGAAAGAGAAGGTCCATTTAAAATAACAGTAGACAATATAAAATACTTGGGGAATCTACCTGCCAAGACAAACCCAGGAACTCTATGAACACCACTATAAAACACTTTTCATACAAATAAAGTCAGATCTAAACAATCGGAAAAATATTAATTGCTCATGGGTAGGCCAAACCAATGTAATAACAATGACAATTCTACCTAAATTAATCTATTTAGTGCCATACCAATCAAACTATCAAAAATTATTCTGTAGAGCTAGAAAAATAATAAAATCCATCTGCAATAACAAAAGCTCAAGGACATCAAGGGAATCAAAGAAAAAAATGCCCCAAAAGGCAGTCTAGCCATTGTGGTTTGTCCTTCATTCCCAAAGAGGCCCATGACATCAGGAAGATGATGCCATGACTTGCAAGTGAATTGGATTTAAGTGAGGGAGGGCTGTGCAAGGTCACCAGCCTCACTTTCTCCTCCACAGCCTTCTCTAGATCTCAAACTATATTATAAAGTGGTAATTATCAAAACAATCTAGTACTAGCTAAGAAATAGAGTGGTCCATCTGTGGAATAGATTAGGTACAATTTACATTATCGTAAATGGCCATAGTAATGTAGTATATGATAAACCCAAAGATCCAAACTTTTGGAACAAAAACTCATCATTTGAAAAAAACTGCTGGGAAAACTAGAAAACAGTATGGCAGAAACTAGGTATAGACGAACAGATCACACTCTATACCAAGATAAAGTCAAAATGCAAATTAAATGATACCATAAGAAAATTAAGAGAGCACGGAACAGTTCATCTGTTAGATTTGTGGATAAGGGAAAAATTTAGGGCCAGAGAATATACAGAGCATTACAAAATGCAAAATTTTGACTATATAAAATTAAAAATTTTTTACACAAACAAAACTAATGTAACCAAAATTAAAAACAGAAAGCAGAAAACTGGGGAAAATTTTTTTGCAACAAGTATCTCTAATAAAGGCCTCATTTCTCAAATATATAGAGAACTGGGTCAAATTTATAAAAATAAAGTCATTCCCCAATTGATATGGTCAAAGGATATGAACAGGCAGTTTTCAGTCAAAGAATAAGTTATCTATAGTCCTATGAAAAATGCTCTAAATCACTACTGATTAGAGAAATACAAATTATAACAACACTGAGATACCACCTCACACCTGTCAGATTGGAAAATGTAGGCTGTTGGAAAACTGAGACACTAATGCACTGTTGGTGGAGTTGTGAACTGATCCAACCATTCTGGAGAACAATTTAGAACTATTCCCAAAGGGCTAATAAAACTATGCATACCCTTTGATCCAGCAAAACCACTGCTGGATCAATATCCCAAAGATATCCCCCAAAAAGGGAAAAGGACTATTTGTACAAAAATATTTATAGCAGCTCTTTTCGTAGTGGCTAAGAACTGGAAATCAAAGGGATGCCTGTCAATTGAGGAATGACTAAACAAGCTGTGGTATATGATTGTAATAGAATATTATTGTGCTGTAGGAAATTACAAGCAGGATGATTTAAAAGAAGTTGGAAAGACTTACATGAACTGATGCATAGTGAAATGAATGGAACCAGGAGAATGTTGTACACAATAACAGCAACACTGTCCAATGAAGAACTGTGAATGACTTAACTATTCTCAGCAAAAAATGATCTAAGACAATCCCAAAGGACTAATGATGAAGCATACTATCTGCCTCCAACAAAAGAACTGATGTTAACTGAATACAGATTGAAGCATGCTATTTTTCACTTTCATTTTTTTCTGTTATTCAAGTGTTCTTGTACAAAATAACTAATATGGAAATGTTTACATAATTTAAAAAAAGAAAGAAATAAGAATCCCCCAGAAAGCAAATATCAAATCCTGGCTTTGGAAATGATTTTTCCTTGTACTTTCTAAGGCAAAGTGAAGAAGTACCTTCAGTGTTGGAGGCTAGGATCTCTGAAAACACCCCAGTCCCAAGGAAGAATAAGATGAGAGCTTGCATTTTATAGAATGCTTTACATTTTACAAAGTAATTTTCTTAACAACAATCACCCTGTGAAGTAAGGGGTACACATACTATTACTCACATTTAATGGATGAGAACACTGAGGGGGCCCTGCTTTCTTCATACAGCTAGTAAATGTCAGAGCTGGAATTTGAATCCAGGTCTTCCAGCACCAATCTAATGCTGATTCCATATGCCATGTTGCCTCAGAAGAGTTAAAAGACGGATGATGCAAGCCTACTGCCCCTGAACTCTTACCTCAGGAAGAAGCAACGTACACCGGCTGGCTTGGAGGTACTCGGAGCCTTCAGGACACGTGTGAGGGTCTCTCATCTTCTGACTTCTGTTGAAGCGGGAAAAAGCAAGCTTAGAAACTGACAGAAGTAACTGTAATTAGGAATCTACAATGCAATGAAGACAATGCAATGAAGGAGTAGAACTAAGGTGTGAGCACACAGAAGCCAAAGAAAGAAAATTCCCAAACACGACTGAACACAGCAGCCAAAGAAGGCCTATCATGGCCATTGTCCATTTCAGACACAAACTCTCACTCGGCTCTGGAGACCTGGAGACAAAACGCATTACCAAAGCCTATGTGGGAAACATCACTGTGCCCTACAACAAAGATTAGTTCTTTAATTCAAAGTAGTACTGCCTCTGCTTGTGTTCTGGGCTCTTAAAATAATCTAAAAGGAAATTCATCAACTAAATCAGAATGAAGCTGTGTTGTGAAAAATAACAAAAAACAATAAAACAGACAACATTACCCCCGTCTCCCCCACAATCTTTGACCTCTTGATATAAACCCTGGTTTCAACAACACTAATTCTGAATCAAAAGACAACTTTTACTCTAAATCAAATCAGATGTGCATCTAAGAATTGCTAAGAAATATCTTCAATTTGTATAGCCCTTTATAGTCTATAAGTGTTTTCACCTATAATAATAATAATACTAAATCACATTTATATAGTGTTTTAAGATTTACACAGCACTTTTCTTATAAACACTGAGGGATGAATTGTCCAAATACTCCCACCATTTTACAGACAGGATCATCAGAGTCTTAGAGAGATTACATGATTTGTTTGTGGTCATGCTGCCAGGAAGTACCTTTCTATCCTCTCACTTGGGCTACTACAATAGCCTCCTAACTGGTTACCCTATTTCAAAACTGCTCTTCAAGCCATCCTCCACAGAGCTACCAAAGTGATTTTTCTTAAGGACAGACCTGACCATGTTGCTTTCCCACCAACAGAAGTCAGTCCAGTGGCTCCTTACGATCTCTAAGGTCAGATTCAGCTTGGCACAGTGGAAGAAGCACAGGCTTTAGAGTCAGAGGACCTGCCTCTGGTGCTCACTAGCTACGTAACCTAGAGAAGTCACTTAACGTTCCTGGGCCTAAGTTCCTCAACTGTAAAATGAAGGGGTTGAACTAGATCATTTCTGAACTATTCTTTCACCTCTATGGCTATGATCTTATGACCCTATGGTTGGCATTTAAAGCCCTTCATCCCTGACACCTGGGCTTATGCTCTACTTTAAGCATTCTATGCTCCAACCCAATTGGCCTTCTTGCTACTCCCTACACGTGACGTCACAGCTCCCATCCTATGCCCTGGACAGGCTGTCCTCCATGCCTGGAATATACTCCCTTCCTCACCCAAACTCTTAAAAACCCCCTAGCTTCTTTTTGGCTTAGCTCAGATGCCAATTCCTACATGAGGCGTTGTATGATTCCTCTCAGATGCTAAGGTATTCCCTTCAATATCACCTTTTATTTTGTACACAATATGTGTAAATGCTGCCTTCCCCCATGAATGCAAGCTCCTTGAGGGCAGGGACTATTTTCACTGCTATAACCCCCTCAACTAGCACAGTGCCAGCTTAATAAATACTTGTGGAGCCACAATTCAAATCCAAGTCTCCCAATTCCAAAATCCAACAGTCTTTCCACTATAGCACATAGCCTCTATAACCTTATTTGTAATTTATAATCTAGTTTTGTATCTCCTCTCCTCCCCGCCCCGCCCCACTGCCAGATCTTAAACAAGCACAGGGCTGAGATACTGGCACATTCCCCAGCAGCCAGCATGGGGATCTGCACAGTCAGCACTTAATACGACGAGCTGAATGAATGGTGAGCATGGATGAGCCTATTCAACCCTTAAAACAAAGCTGCTGCCAGGTTAAGGTAGGTAACATTATCCCCATTGCGCATTTGTGAAAACTGAGGTTTAGAGAGGCTGAGACTTGCTCAAGGTCATGCAAACGGTTAAGAGGTAGAGCCCCTAACTCCAATGCTTTTTCCATTGTACAACCGTAATCTCATCTTCACATGAACACAATGAGAAATTCAGTATTTGAATCCAGTCCTATACCTAAACTAAGTTGTTATTAAATCTCTCAAATCCACTGGGCAAGTGAAAGGCATAGGCTTCAAATGTAAAATACTTTAAGAAATGGAGAAAAGATAATAAGAAACCTAAGTGAATCAATCCAATGTTTATTTCCTAGTCTTCTAGCTATAATATTACATCTTCAAATACGAAACCTTCACTAGATTTAAAAAACACATCTTGAAATCCCAGATCTTATCCTACCTTTTCTGCTATCGATTATTCAGATGCACTGGATGCCATCCCCCTATACTGAGTAAAAGCAGATATTCTGCTTAATGAGAATGACACAAAAAATAACTTTCACCTACCCAGAGTCTCCTCTGCTATAGGGTCACTACTCTGTAGTTGTTGGATTAGACAAAGGTATCTGCGGTCAGCAAATAAGCAAGGCATTGTATGATACACACAACCTAGGCCGCAAGTCTGGATCTCAGAAGAAAGTGTTTCTGGGAAATCATCAAATGACTCAGTAACTCTTGGGGAGCAAATGATTAAAAAACCTGCATGGTAACTATGGAGGAGATAGGCATGAGAGGGACAATAGGAAAAAAAAGAAGAAACCAAAAGAGAGGGCAGAAGCCCGACAACTACTGGCAGAAATATTGGAAAAAAAAATAAGAGGAAGTGTGACTTTAGGAAAAGGGGAACTATTTCCTACCAGTACAGGCACTGTAGAAGTGACACAGCTGGAATATAGGCTCTGGCTTAGTAACCTCAGATTTCTTTGAGTACAACCTTGACTAAAAGGATTCAAATAAATGAAAAAATAAAAAACCCAAACCCTTTGTTTCTCTTTTTCAATATTCTTCTTCTAGCTAAGTAAAAAGCATAATCATGTTAATAATACTTCAAGACAATAAAGATATCAAGTAAGGGTAAATGATCTTTCCTTTAGTCTTCCCAAATTAATTTAGAATCAGAATTTTGGAGCTGTAAAGGACTTGAAGATCTTCTACTCTCTCTCCTTCCCTATCATCTAAAAGATGAGGCTTATGGAGCCCAGAAAGCTTAAATTATTTTCTCAAGGTAGCAGAATGAGGAGAAAAACTAGTCTCTTAGGCTCTTTGTCTCAAAGCTGTTTTGTGGTTTTCAAGAGGGATCATAACATTCACATGAGCAAGTGGCCAAACAAAAGGAAAACTGATTCCACAAGCCAGATGCGAGGGACTCTCTTGACTTTACAATCCCCCTAAAAAACAGGGCTCATCAAACTCTTCTCACCTAAATAAAGCCTGATGATTCTTCATGCTCCTTTTTAAAAATAATACATTTAATTCATACATATATACATACACAAACACACTTTTTAAAAAAACCATGCCTGTATCTTTTGATGGGAAAGTGGCTAGAGAGCTAGCGTCAGAATCAGGAAGACTTGTGTTCAAGTCCCACCGCTGACATACTGGCTGTGAGACTGTGAGCAAGTCACTTTCAGTGTCCCAGACAACTCTCTAAGACTAGGTTGCAGAAAACCTGCTGACCGGGAGTTCCCTTTACCAACAAAACCACAGGTCTCATCCCTATTCTTTCTCTGCTCCTGCCCTCAGAGTTCCAACTGTCCTGATATGGCTAAAATATTCTTTTTTGGAGGAACCCAGCACTACACACGATTTTCTTTTCCTACCCCTTCTGAAAATCCACAAATACAACAGAATCACGCCATCACAAGGATCTGCTCCTGTTCTCAAACTGCACAAGACAAAACCTAGCACAACACAATCAGGATCAGGAGGGAAGATTATTCCTATCAGCAGATGCCAGACTTAAAGAGAAGAGATTTCATCATTATCTAGCTTCAGTGACAACAGAAACCACAGCTCCTAGGAAAACAAAAGGCATTTTCCATATAGAGTAGATAAACCCAAGGCTGTATCTAGAGTCTGAAGATTCTGCACTGACTGCAGGAATGGCGCTCACTCAAGTGAGGCCCTCCCAGCTGCCAAAGCTGAGAGTTGTGAATACAACAGTAACCATGGGGATCCTGCTGCAGATGAATGTGCTTCTCCCCTCTTCAGGCAGTAGAGGGAGCACTGAGAACGAAAACCAACCAGGAGGCAGGTAAAGCCTACCCCTTGACCCAGAACCAAAGCAGCCTCTCCAAGACCAGCACGGCTGTGTGCTGTGGAGACTTAGAGAAAGAGTTTGTGATCCAAGGTCCGGCAGGAGTGGAGTTTCCAAAGAATCCTTCTGCACAAGGCCTCTTCTACTCCCCAGCAGCCAAGTGTCTTCCAGCTCTTCCCCTCCCCAAGTTCCCTTTATCTGCTTGGAATGCTGTGTATATACAGGCATGTATCTACATTATATACTGTTCAGATGTAAGCTCCTGGAAGGGAATGAAGGCAGGAAACTGCTTCACCTAGCAAAATCCCTGGTACATATGAGGCATTTACTAAATGCTTGATAGTTGATTAAAGTCCTGGGAAAGGAAAAAGGTGAGCTGGTCATTAAGTTCTCCCACTTTCCTGGTAGGTTAAAAAATAAGGCTGAAATGAACTATGTATGATCTTCTCATAAAGGACCCTGAAGGTGGGGGTGGAGCCAAGCATGGAAGTCCAATCTGAAAATTGAACTAAAATCCAACTCCATCAGATTCTCTCTTTTGATGCTCAAGACCACTGGTGAATTTGGAGAACACTAGAGTCTAAAACCTCACTCATTCACTCCCCAAACCAGCCTCTTTTCCTTTGTACTTACCCTATACTTATGAAGTCACTTTTACTGACAGTATCTGGTTCAATGCAAATGTTCATGAAATCTTCTGTGCCCTGAGAAAGAGAGTTCAGAAAACTCTTATTAGTGTTTCTAACACTGCAGCTAATAAGATTTAGCCTGGGTGTTCCCTCTGGATTGTTCATGGCCAAAGGAGGTTCAATTCAATAAGGCTTCAGTAAACGTTCAATGTGGGGAAAGCTTCATGCTAGATAAGGGAGAAAGATAAGTTTAGAAAGGACACAGTCCCTTGCTCTCATGGATCTTGCAGTCTGGCAGGAGGAGGCTTATGCTCTACAGCTGAGAAGTGTGCTTCTGACTTTTTCCTTCAGGGACTATGATTTTCACTTCTGTTTCTTATTTCCTAAGCCAAAATAGCTCAAAGATATTCATGGCAGAGACTGATCACTAAAAACAATAATTAGTATTATTAATGTAATTCCTGGTCCCATATGCAGACCTTCCTTCTGATTAGACACTTTTATGCCATGGAAATGTTTTTCAGATTTTCCATTCTTATTGATACCACCATATGGAGAGCCACATACAAGGTGTATAATATAAATTATGGAAAGAAAGGATGCCTTATGTGGTCACCTTGTGTAGGTCTCTCTTTCTACAACCTGCTGGTGATGGACTCATGGGAAGTCAATGGCCAGTAGTGGAAGCCTAGCTCTCCATGAAAAAATTCAAGTCCCCATCATGTAGGGTTCACATGCAGCCAATGGCCTACTTTCTTCTGGTTATAGTATTGTTTGAGTGACCCTCTGTTTAGTTTCTACTTTCCTGCACCAAGTTAGTTGGGAGATATTCAGGAGGACTATCACTTATCATATGGCATGAATAATAACAATAATAATTTATATGGCTCTTTAAAGGTTTGCAAAGTGCTTGATATAAATTACCTCATTTGAACCTCCAAAGAACTCTCTAAGATAGATACTATTATTATTTCCACTTTACAGATGAAGAAACTAAGGCTTAATTAAGTGATTTGTCCAGGGTAATGCAGCCCTTATGTGTCTGAGTAAGGATCTGAACCTGGGTTTTGCTGACTCCAAGTCCAGCACTATAACCACAACTCTACATAGCTGCCATATGTAGTATTTCAAGTACCTGTGATTTTGTCAGTTTGGGAATTCCCTCTACCAATGCAGACTGTAATCTGTTTGCAACTTTGAGAGTTGCCTGAAGTTCAGAGAAGTGACTTACTCATAGTTATGTCGATAATATAGGCCGTACGGGATTTCAAACCAAGTCTCCCTGACTCATAGGATAGTACTATCCACTATTCTACACTGTCTCTCTTCCATTAAAAAAACCCAGTAATTACTTTATTCCCTTTCTGGGTGAGAATGGCCAAAAGCTTCTTTGCAAGGGCCACAGTGACATACTAGAGCATAATAAAACCGGTACCCTAGCAAAAAAAAAAAAGAGAGAGAGAGAGAGAGAGAGAGAGAGGGAGAGGGAGAGGGAGAGGGAGAGGGAGAGGGAGAGGGAGAGGGAGAGGAGAGGGAGAGGAGAGGAGGGAGAGGGAGAGGGAGAGGGAGAGGGAGAGGGAGAGGGAGAGGGAGAGGGAGAGGGAGAGGGAGAGGGAGAGGGAGAGAGGGAGAGGGAGAGGGAGAGGGAGAGGGAGAGGGAGAGGGAGAGGGAGAGGGAGAGGGAGAGGGAGAGGGAGAGGGAGAGGAGAGAGAGAGAGAGAGAGAGAGGACAGAAATGCAATCTATTCGACTAGGGCACACCTTGCTATCTCTTACTTTCTGGTGCCGTGATCTCTGTACTCCAGATCTCCTATCTGCTTACCATACTGGCCCTTCATGCCTTAACTTGCCTTCTATGAACTCTACTCTTTTATCTGTTTGACCTAAGATACCCAACTGATCTATCCAATCCCATTTGCTCCTGTGAAACACATCCTCATGCTCAGCTGACCTATAAAATCTGATGTATTCCTACATAATCGGACTCCTAGTCTTGATTCTTCCTGACCAGCATTATTGTGGTCAGCCTGATCGACTGGGGCTAGCAGCAGCTCTGATTAGAAATGGCAAGTCTCAAAAAGTAGAAGACGGCTCTGCCCCTCTACTGGCAACTGCTGCACCAGGAATCACCAATGACTCCTCTCCACCCAGAAGCTTTGAGACTGACACTAGATGTCAGATTTAAGCAGATATCACGAGGCTTCCCAATGGCAACTTACAATCTATCCAAAATGGTAACATGGTGGGGCAGCTAGGTGCTGCAGTGGATAGAACACCAGCCCTGAAGTCAGGAGGACCCGAGTTCAAATGCGGCCTCAGACACTTGACACTTACTAGCTGTGTGACCCTGGGCAAGTCACTTAACCCCAATTGCCTTAAAAAAAAAGTAACATGGGCAGATGCAGAAGTCAGACATCATCCTCTACCTGAGAGGCTAAGACAAACAGTGACTAAGGACATATTTAAAAACTTCAAGCTGCATTGACTTTTTTTTTTTACTCTTTATGATTAGTCAGCTTTTCTTAGATGGTCTACACAAGAATGTCCATTATATCTGCATCCTTGGGTCTCTTTTCTCCTCTCTCTCTGCCTCATTTTAACTTTAGATTCAAATTCCAATTAAAGTTCAAGTTATTCCCAACAAATATGTTATCTAGATTTTGATGCCACCTCTCCTTCTCCACAGACATAAACAGCAAAGATGGAAAGGTAAAGCCAATAGAGTAGGTGGAGACACCCATGGTAAAACATGACAAAAGGCTCTAAATGGTTATGTGGCACTTCCTGGTAGAAACAGGAAAATTTTCTATGCTTCCCAACTTCTGTAACACTGGTAACCTTACATAAGAACTGTTTTTATATGAATGAATAAATGAAAGGCTCAATAAAAGTATATAATTTTTTTTTCCTTTTTGTAGGCAACGGGGTGAAATGACTTGTCCAAGGTCACACAGCTACTAAGTGTCAAGTGTCTGAGGCCGCATTTGAACTCGGGTCCTCTTGACTTCAGGGCCAGTGCTCTATCCACTGCTCCACCTACCTGCCCCAAAAGTATATAAATCTTAAAAATGTTATCTTGATCATGCTTTTTATCCTCTGTTGGCACCTGCCAATTTATAGAAGGGTTAACTAGTTTGTGACTTCACTGGTTTTTACATGTGAGTCCATCTATAATGCTAATATCATCAATCACATCAAGTGACACAGAGGATATGCTTTTCCCATTAGTTCACCAATATAAAAAATCTAAGGCACTTTACCAATCCCCTTGGAACTCTCTAAATCAGTGATTCTAAAATATGTAATCTAGGTCCTTGGGCTGGATCACAACACAAATCACATAAAACTGTGTTTTAAAATTTATACTGACAAGAGTGAACTGATGGCACTGATAGGCTACAGGTCCTTGTGCCCTGTCAAAGTGGCCTCGAGGACAGAGAAGCTGAAGAATCCTCTAGGCCAACACATGCAGGACCAGAATTCCTTACTAGAGCCCAAGAAGCTTCAAAACAACCATCCTCCCAAGCCATATGAGATACCATGGTGTGATAATCAGGTGATGTGGATCCTAGTCAGAGGCTCTAGAAGAAGCCCCCACCTCCTCGGGACTCAACTTTATCGTCTAGAAAGTGAAAAAGTTCAACTCCATGTTCCCTAAGGCTTCTTCTAGCTTTGACATTCTATGATTCCATGTCTCATTGGTCTCATCCCACATATGGTATGTCATCATCCCCTTCACATCCCTCCCCCCACCCCATCCTGACCCTTCCATCTCTATCCTTTCACTCATTTACATGGTACAAACCAAAACCTGAGCTGCAGAAAAACCACATGACCTACGCTGCCTCATGTAATGACACAAAAGACTGATTTATAACATGACTCTCTTACCGTCAGGTCAGGTCGACTGTTCCGTGTTGTGATGGATAATTCAAGGGTGGACAGCTGCACTTCTTTCCAGACCTCTGGCTTTACCTCCTGGGAGATGGCTGTGTGAATCCATTAGGCACAGGTCAATTACTTCCATTAGTGTTCCACTACTACCAATGCAAAATAAATGACTGGGGCCGTCAGCTTCTCAGTTCCCCTTCATTCTCCCTGCCCAGTCTTTCTGCTTCCTCTGCTTTATTTATTGTACATCTCACTTATCCACAGAGGAGAGAGAGAGTCAGAGTCACTGTGGAAGACCCATGCAGGAAACATTCCAACCCAGAGCAGCAGCAAAAGGAATAAAGAAGAGGTGGCCCATTCTTTGCCACAAAAACCAAACAACACAAGAGGTTCTTACTACTATCCACTGGGCTTAGCATGCTACCATGTAATGCATACTGCTGGGGCAGAGAAGAACTCAGACCAATTTATTTGGCAGTTTGAGTCCTGTGCTGACTGGAAGCAGAGGATGAACCAAATGACCTCTGAGAGTCTTTCCCAGCTTGAGTAGTGTCTCTGTATCTACCTTTGGAATGTGTGCTCCTCAAGAGAAGTGACTGTTTCACTCTATTTGTATCCCCTGAACCCAGTACAGCGCCTGGTACATAGCAGGCACATAATAATGCTTATTGATTGACTGGGGAAACTGGTTGAGGGCTCTTCTGCATAGAGGGTATCCCAGGCCTCTAAATAACCTCCCTCACCATCCTGAGGACGAGTCCAGTACGATGCAAGCCTTCGGAATATCCTCCTGTATAAAGCAGGCCTGGGAGGCTTTTCTTCTGGTTCACTGGGCAGTCTCTCAGTGGGTCCCACATACGAGATGGAGGCCTGATGTATCTGAGGCCACTCCTAGATTAACATGAAGATTAAAAAAAATGCTGCTAATGACAAGTCCTGGGAGATCTTGGACAGAAAGGTAACAATCTCATTTTCTTTCCTGTGAAATTTGTGGCCCTATGAGGAATTTGAAGACTGAATCCCTAGAGCTGATTCCTCATCACAGAGAGATTTAAGGAATCTTTCCTTCAAACTAACAACTTAGTGTATAACAGTCTTTCCCTTTAGGATAGGGAAAACAATGAAGATAATACACCAAGAAGACAAAACTAATAGTACTAAGTATGTGGAGTGAACCATTGCATGGCAAATTCAATTCACATATACAGATGCTAAAAAAAAAAAAGTATTGTGCTACATCAAGAATTACTTAAGTAAAAGACAAAGATACTAATTTTCTGCTTCCAAATCTATAATTAGAGCATCTCTGATTTCATTTGTCTCTCACAAATTAGCTCCTCCCCTTCAAATTTCTGAGCTTAGCAGTGGGGGGAGAGAGGGAGAGAGAGAGAGAGAGAGAGAGAGAGAGAGACAGAGAGACAGAGAGAGCAAGCGAGAGCACAAGAATGAGAACGTGTGTGTGTGTGTGTGTGTGTGTGTGTGTGTGTGTGTGTGTGTGTACAGCCTGTAAATGGACATGTAATAAAATGGTCTAATACAGAAAACAGAAGTCCTACAAGAGTCATCTGTGGTTCAAGAGTTGGAGAGCATCCCAGGCAAAGACATCTAATGTTTCATTATCAGAGATAGGAATTAGACCTGTGATTTCAGGGCTAGAGAGTAAGGACACTCCCTGATGAGGAAACTCCTTTCACCAATGCAGGTTAGTACCTTCTCTGCAACTGATAAACTCAATGATTTGCCTGAGCACTGGGAGGTTTAAGTGACTTACTGCCATCAAAATCTCATATTCCAGATTACCTTTTCCGGCCTGAAATCCTAAAACTTTCTCTTCTTTCTTCACATAAATAGGTTCTTTTTTCTTTCTTTCTTTCTTTTAGGCAATTGGGGTTAAGTGACTTGCCCAGGGTCACACAGATAGTAAGTGTCAAGTGTTTGGTCAGAGGTCAGATTTGAACTCAGGTCCTCCTGACTTCAGGGCCGGTGCTCTATCCACTGTACCACCTAGCTGCCCCTACATAAATAGGTTTTTAACCCTACTTCTTCTATATAAAGCAATTTTTAAATCTTTATTGTGTCATGGATCCTTTTGTTGAAATTTGTAGATACTTTCCCAGAGTGTTTTTAAATGCATAAATAAAATACATAGGATTAAAAAAACCCCTAATTATATTGAAATATGGTTTCACTGATATGAAATATATTAAATATATATATATGTGTGTGTGTATATATATATATATATATATATATATTTTTTTTTTAAGTTCACAGATTCCAGGTTAAAAGCCCCTGATATAAAGCCTTCTGTAACCATCTCTTAAGAAAGGTATCTAGGGTGGAGCCAAGATGGCAGAATAAAAGCAGTGACTTGCTTGAGCTCTCCCCAAAACCCTTCCAAATACCTGTAAAAAATGGCTCTAAACAAATTCGAGAACAGCAGAACCTACAAAAAGACAGAATGGAACAAATTTCCAGCCTAAGACAACCTAGATAGTTGATTAGAAAGGTCTATCGCACCGAACTGGGAGAGAAATGCAGTTCAGCTTGGGCACACATGCAGGCAAAGACCAGGCCTCAGCTAACCTGGAGCAGGCCTCACTCAAGGAACTGAATCACAGGCAGCTGTAGCAGTTTCCAGACTTCTAAACCCACAAATGCCAAAGACAACTTAGAAGGTCAGTACAAAAAGTCTACAACCTCAGTGAGAGAGAAGCTTTGTCCTAGCACAGCCCCGAGATGGCAGCTGGTTCTGAAGTTTCCTGGCTCACAGACTACGGGGGAATTAAGTGTGGTGGGGGGGGGGGGATTGTAGGGATCTCTTAGCTGGTACTAAGGCAGGATTCTCTTGCTTTGCCCACACTTTGATCTGGGTCACAGTTCTGGGTGGAAATCCTGGGGTGAGGACAAGTGCTAGCATGGTGGAGCTTGTAGTGGCAGTGCAGAGTGAATCCTCCTCACAGTTCTAAGGCAGAAAAGAGTGCTTGTGGTCACTCGTAGACCAGAGCACAGGCCAGGAAGTGAGTAAACACCTTGCCCCTGATCATACCACCTTGGAAAAACTGAAAACTCACATGTCCCTAGAAGTACCTCTGAAAACAGTTGCACAAAACTCCTGAAGCTTGGGACAGTACATTCTCCACAATGGAAGCAGACCCTACCTTAACAAAGAGTTTAAAACTCAATTAAATGGCTGGGATCATAAGCAAACTGTACAAAAAAAGTCAGACCATAGAATCTTTCTTTGGTGACAAAGAAGATCAAAACATACAAACAGAAGAAAAGAACAAAGTCAAGGCCCCTACATCCAAAACCTCCAAGAAAAATATGAATCAGGCCCAGGCCATGGAAAAGCACAAAAAGGATTTTGAGAAGCAATTAAAAGAAGAAAAGGAAAAAACTGGGAAGAGAAATGAGAGTGATGCAAGAAAGCCATGAAAAACCAGTCAACAGCTTGCTAAAGGAGACCCCCAAAAAAATACTGAAGAAAACAACACCTTAAAAAATAGCCTAACCCAAATGGCAAAAGAGGTCCAGAGGGGCAGCTAGGTGGCACAATGGATAAAGCTCTGGCCTTGGAGTCAGGAGGACCCAAGTTCAAATCCAGCCTCAGACACTTGGCATTTACCAACTATGTAACCTTAGGCAAGTCACTTTATCCCAATTGCCTCACAAAAAAAAAAATTCTAGTTGTATGACCCTGGGCAAGTCACTTAACCCCACTGCCTAGCCAAAAAAAAAAAATTTTTTTTTAAAAAAGGTCCAAAAGGCCAATGAGGAGAAGAATGCCTTAAAAAGCAGAACTGGCCAAATAGAAAACCAAGTCCAAAAGCTCATTGAAGAAAATACTTCCTTAAAAATTAGAATGAAGCCACTGAAAGCTAGTGACTTTATGAAAGATCAAGACATTGTAAAACAAAACCAAAAGAATGAAAAAAATAGAACACAATATGAAATATCTCACTGGAAAAACAACTGACCTGGAAAATAGATCCAGGAGAGAGAATTTAAACATTATTGGACTATCTGAAAGCCATGATCAAAAAGAGAGCCTAGACATCATCTTTCAAGAAATTATCAAGGAAAACTGCCCTGATATTCTAGAACCACAGGGTAAAACAGAAATTGAAAGAATCCACAGATCCTCCTGAAAGAGATCCCCAAAGGAAAACTCCTAGGAATATTGTAGCCAAATTCCAGAGTGCCCAGATCAAGGAGAAAATATTACAAGCTGCCAGAAAGAAACAATTCAAGTACTGTGGAAACACAATAAGGATAACACAAGATTTAGCAGCTTCTACATTAAGGGACCGCAGAGTTTGGAATATGATATTCTGGAGTGCAAAGGAGATAGGATTACAACCAAGAATCACCTACCCAGCAAAACTGAGTATAATCCTTCAGGGGAAAAAATGGATTCAGTGAAATAGAGGACTTTCAAGCATTCTTGATGAAAAGACCAGAGCTGAATAGAAAATTGACTTTCAAATACAAGACTCAAGAGAAGCATGAAGAGGTAAACAGGAAAGAGAAATCATAAGGGACTTATTAAGGTTGAACTGTTTACATTCCTACACAGAAAGACATATTTGTAACTCATGAGACCTATGTCAGTATTAGGGTAGTTGGAGGGTAAAAAAAATTATACGTATAGATAGACTGATAGAAGGCACAGGGTGAGTTGAAGATGAATGGGTGATGTCTGGAGAATAAAATTAAGGGGTGAGAGAGGATTATACTGGGAGAAGGAGAAAGGGAGAGGTAGAATGGGGTAAATTATCTCACATAAAATAGACAAGAAAAGGCTTTTACAGTGGAGGGAAAGTGGGGGAAGGTGAGAGGGAATGAGTGAATCTTATTCTCATAGGATTTGGTTTAAGGAGGGAATAATGTACACACTCAATTGGGTATGGAAATCTGTCTTACCCTACAGAAAAATAGGGGGGAAGGGGATAAGAGAGCAGGGGGATGATGGGGGGGAGGGCAGGTTGGGGGAGGAGATAATCAGAAGCAAACACTTCTGAGGAGGGACAGGGTCAAAAGAGAGAATAGAATAAATGGGGGCCAGGATAGTATGAAGGTAAATACAGTTAATTTTCCACAGCATGACTACTATGGAAGTGTTTTGCATTACTACACAAGTATAATCTGTATCAAGTTGCCTGCCTTCTCAATGAGGGTGGGTGGGGAGGGAGGAAGGGAGAAAATTTGGAACCCAAACTTGTAAAAATAAATGTTAAAAAACTGTTTTCACATGCAACTGGGGAATAAGATATACAGGTAATGGGGTGTAGAAATCTATCCTGCCCTACAGGAAAATAGAAAAAGAAGGGGATAAGAGAAAGGGGTAGGGGGGAGATAGAAGAGAGGGCAGATTAGGGGAAAGGGTATTCAGAATGCAGCTGTCTTGGGGTTGGGGGAGGGATGAGATGGGGAGAAAATTCAAAACTCAAAATTGTGTGGAAGTGAATGCTGAAAACTAAAAATAAATAAATTAATGAATCTTTAGGGGGAAAAAAAAAGGTATCTACTTCTACCCAGACTTTACAATCTAAAAATCCTATTATTTTGACTCTCCCTTCACACATCAACCCACAAAATGCATTTTTCTTTTTGCTTATACATAATAATAATAATAATAATAGTAATATTAAAACAGGTCTATTCCAATTGAGATCTGTTCACAATACAGAGAGATGCACATCTAAACACAAATATAAACAAACAAGTCTGTCTAGGTACATATATTCGTAAATATATATTAATACGCACACACATTTTTCCAGATACATAGTAATCTACACAAAGATAAGTCAACACGCTTAGAGTCTCTTCAATAGTAGAGAATAAATGAATATATTAAGTGGTGTTAGAAGGGTAAACGGGGGCAGAGGTGAAAGTGAATGGGTAAGTATGAGAGAAGGCAACTTGTCAGCAAAAAAAACTGTGTGTATTTCCTGCTTTGGAGATGCAGCCTTGTATATATGCAGTTCCCCTAAATAATGAGATAAGATATGTCCCATTCACCCCCATTTCCTTTTTTCTACTACAAACAAAATGAGAAAACATCCTTCTAAATGTAATTTTCCATGTTTTGTGTTTTACTTACCTTAAGAGTACTAAAAAAGTGAGCAGCTTTGGTTTTTAATGGTCCAAGATACCAGTACCTGAAAGGGATCAAGATGAAATTCTGATTAGAAAATATGATCAGCATATTTACAAAGTCCTATCCATCTGATCTGCATCTTCACAACATAAATGTAAATATCTGCACCCTCAAGGACATTATGATAAGTACCTCAAGACTATGATGGTAAGAGGGACATACCTACACCCAAGGACAGAAAAAATGAATTTGTGTCAGTATTAAAAAAAAAAATCCTTCTTTTCCTGGCATGTATGGGTCATATCTGCACCCTCAAGGACATTATGATAAGTACCTCAAGACTATGATGGTAAGAGGGACATACCTACACCCAAGGACAGAAAAAATGAATTTGTGTCAGTATTAAAAAAAAAAATCCTTCTTTTCCTGGCATGTATGGGTCAATAACAGATATTTCTACATGATGAGAGGTCAGTCCAGGAGGGAAAACCCTTGTGGAAGATTTATGGGAGGACATGGGAAAGAGTGGCATAGAACAAAAAGGCTTGGATGGGTTGTGAACTAAGCCATAATAAGCCAGGTCCGCTAAAGGATGATTGAGAAAGCAGTAGTGTCTTTGTACAGGAAGGCAAGCCTATTAGGATTACTGCGGCTAGTACTAATCTAATGTGCTAGAATGGGAGACTGAGCTATAGTCTAAAATAACATGTAAGCAGTAAATTTTTATGTGATGAGTTGCAGGGGAGAGGTGGCCAGCAACTGGCTAGAAGAAATGTCTACTTATTTCACTTTTGGTTGACTCCTTATTACCATTATAAGACCCCAACCCAGTTTGGTGAGGATGACCTTTTGGGGTCCCTACAAAATTCCATTACATGATAAAGCACTAAAATGAATATAATCCAGTGCTGAAATAAGATGGTACAAACTTTAAGTGCCAGGGATTTCAAGAAGGGAAGGATAATGCTAATTTTTAAGTTATTAGGAAAGGCTTAAAGGAGAAAGGAACCTGAGACAGGCCTACAGTACTTGAAGAGAGATGCTCAGAGAGAATTATAGCCTGGGGCAGAGCATGAGAAAAGATCAGAAACAAGGAGGGCAGGAGAGCAGGTGTTTCAAAGAAAGACCAGAGTAAAGCCAGAGACAAGTATACATATTCAATTTAGCTAACAATTAAGTGCCCCCATGTGCAAGGCCAAGCTAAATCCTAACAAAAAGGATGCACCCCTAAGGAGTTTATAGTCCCTAGTGGAATAATAAGAGATAAGATCAGGAAAGCAGAATAGGGCAGATTATGGGGGAGTCTTTACCATCATCTCTAATTCAAAGCCAGAAAGACAAGTTATGACTTGATCCACTAGGGAATGGAAAGCTATTAAAGTTCTTTATCAGGAGAATGACATGATCCCCACTGATAAGAAAGCTTGGACCCTCCTTCTATTCCTGAATAGGTAAATTCTCCAGGTTATATAGTTTGCTTCCTACAAAAATTCTATTTCTTCAAAGGCAAAACAGATGAACATTCCCCATTTCCCTGCTTCCTACAAAAATTCTATTTCTTCAAAGGCAAAACAGATGAACATTCCCCATTTCCCTGCTGAGGTTTCTAATTTCTAAACTGCCAGGTCCCCTTCACATTCCAACAGCCGTGACTTAGCACTATGCAATTCTTCAGCAGGCTAGGAAACAGTTCTGTCATCCTGGTTTCTTTCCACTGCACAATCAGGGCATTTCATCTGGTGAACAGTCCCATTTAAGACGTTAAACTGGATATCAAGCAGCATCCTAAAATGCCCTGATCAGACAGCTGTCACCAGATGGAGCATGGCTGCATTCCTGGCCAAGTCTGTAGGACATTCTATCAGTGCTGAGACGGATCTGCACCACGTTGGTGATTAATACATCTTGGCAGATGCACCATTTGCCCACTCACACATTTCTCAAAAAAGGCTACCAATAAGTTTTCTATGTGGTGAGATGTTAAAATTTGGTTACATATTAAACAGAAGGTTTTGTAAAAAAAAAAAATTAAAACAAAACTGTAGTACGGGGGCAAATGAAAGGATGAGAAATATATATAAGGATAACGTGAAGAACATAATAATACTTCCATAACTAAACAGGGTGAGCACTAACAAAATACTTGGCTGCAACAGACTTTATGTCTAAAAGTAGAAGAGGTACAAAGATACAGTTCATTATTCAGTTCAATTCAACAGGTACAGTGAGGCACCTACCAAGTACAAATCTACTTCGATAAGGTCTGGGGATAAAAGACAAATAATCAAATAGCCCCTGCCAGGCAAGAGGAGAAAGGAGATGTAATGACAACATGGAAGCCAGATAAGCAAAAAACAAAAAACAAAATGAAACTGATGGGGTGCTTGGGTGCTTGTGTTTGGGTGCTTGTGCTTGGACCTCAATTTCTGCCTAACCTCAGGAACACTATCCCTGACAGTTTCTCCCCAGCCCAAGGACACTGTGCCTAGCAATTACTCATGAGTGGGCCCCAGCAAGACCCTTATCTCTCTCCTTGGTGCAATTACAAACAGCACCTGAAGGAATTATTAGTTTGAACTGGCTTTGCACTGAGTCATAAAGACATACTACCACCCTACCTCATTATCTTCATCTGGGCTCCTCATAGCCTTAAGACATATGTACACTCCCTACATCTATCTTGTCAAACAAGATATTGATTGATGGCAGACTGGACAACTCTGTTACCCTGAACTCTAGTTAACTTAGTGGCCTAAAGCAGCAGGCCTAAAACCACACCTCCATATGGCCCCCCTTGTGGGCTTTTCCTAGTGAACTTTGGGTAAAACGCCTGTGCAGTAGGTACAAGAAGTGCATGTTTTTTTAAGAACTGACCACTCCTTAACCACTCCCTAATCCCACCCTGAATCACCTAGTTAGCATATTTGGCACATGTTTTATTGTATTTTATCCTATGTAAACTTTAACTGTACCACTCTAAGATTGCAGGATCCTTAAGAATCCTTGCCCGCTAAAAAGCATCACAATAAACTTTTTGCCACCTTGACTTGAAGAATGCTTGAGTCTGTGAATTCAATACAGACAACCCAGTCAGTCTTTGAGGGGTCACAACCTCTCATACCGCAACAAAACCACAAAACCAAAACACAAAGTTATTTTGGGAAGGAGGAAGCACCAACACCTGGGGAGGGAGATCTCAAGGGCCTTCTGTAGGAGACAGGATTTTAGTCTAGCCTTGAAGGAACTAGAGGTGAGGAGTGAGAACATTTCCCAGGCACGACAGATTCTGTTCAGTGTCAGACACAAGAAGTGAAACGTTGTGCAAGGAGAAGTACAAGTTAGTTTTGCTGAAAATATACTATGTGTGAGGGACACGATAGGAAGCCAGTCTAGAAAGACAAGCAGGGATGAGATCATGAAGGACTTTAAATGCCAAACAGAGGAGTTTACTGTTGATCCTAGAGGCAACAAAAAACTCCTAAAGCTTTCTAAGTAGTGGAGCGATGTAGACAGCTCTGTGCTTTAAGAGAATCAAATTGGTGTGGGAGCGCGTGTGTGTGTGTGTGTGTGTGTGTGTGTGTGTGTGTGTGTGTGTGTGGTGTTACCCTAAATAGGAATGGGTAATTTAGAAAGAGAGGTGGGTTTTGTGGGGAAAGATCAAGTTTCATTTTGGACATGATGACTCTGAGATGCTTTTGGGACATCCAAATGGTGATATTTTGTAGCAATTGAAGAGACAAGACTCGAGTTCAAGAAAGGAAAGACAACTACTGCATATATAGATTTGGGAGTCATGTGCATAGAGGTAACAATTAAATCCTCAGGAGCTGATTAAATCTTTGAATAATGTTCAGTTCGGTCATGTCCGACTCTTCATGACCTTGTATGAGGTTTTCTTGGCAAAGGTACCAAAATGGTTTGCCATTTCTTTCTCTGGTGGATTAAGATCAACAGGTTAAGTGACTTGCCCAGGGTCACACAGCTAGTGAGTGAATGAAGCCTCATTTGAATTCAGATCTTCTTGACTCCAAGCCCAACACTATATCCACCAAGCCACCTAGCTGCAGGTATAGAAAGAGAAAAGATGAGGGTCTAGGCCACAGACCTAAGGTACGCCCAAGCAAAGGTGGCAGGAACTGGATATATAAGTTAGCAAAGAAACCAAGAGGGAGTGGTCAGACAAATAAGGGAAGAATCAGAATAAAGAAGCATCACAAAAACTCAAAAAGAAGAAAATATTCAGGAGGAGAAAGAGGTGCCAACCATGTCAAATGCTGCAGAAATCAGGAATGATATGAAGTGAGAAGAGACTATAAGAGATAGCAGTTAATTAATAAAATGTTAACTATGGAGTGAGCAGTTTCATTGAGTGGTATAGTTTGAGACTTCATTGTGAGGGATAGAGAAGTGGGAGGCAAGGAAAAGGAGATGAGTGCAGACAAATGTTTCTATGAATTTAGCTATAAAAAGGAAAAAAAAACAGATATAGGACCAATGCTTAAGGGAGAAACAGGGTCAAGTAAAAGATTTTGTTTTTTCTACAAGTATTAGAGAGAGACATATTTGTAGGCAACTAATGAAGATGGACAGATTGAAGATGGGAGAGGGAATGATGAAGAGAACCAGTTCCCTAAGAGTGTGAGGAGATAGGCTCAGAAGCATAAGGAAAGGGGTTAACCATGTTAACCTCTTCCTCAGAGACTAGTCCAAAGGAGAAGAGAAAGGTTAAGTAAAAAGAGGTTCTGAGGTACAGGAGTTGAGGAGAAGAAGGAGCTTATAATGGATGGTTTCTGTTTTCTCAGTAAATATGGCAGGAGATAATGATGGAGCTTGTCTGATAAGAGAAGTTTGGGAATAGTTACTGTGGAGAGTGTGAAAGAGTTAGTCAAGGAAAAATAAAGAACTATTTTGCTATAGTGAGAATCCTTTTGAAATTAGACAAATTTGTAATGAATCAAGTCAGCAGTCAGTTCATTTTCTCCAAAAATGTTCAGCAAACATGAGTTAGAATGCAGAAGGCAGATAGTAGGAATAACCCGGGGTTGGGACTGGCTAGGTGAAACTGCTGATAGGACAGAAAGGGAGGCAGAGACAGCTGATGATACTAGGGATGACCAAGTCAACTGCAAGGTCAAGCCTGTGAAGAAAAAGAAGAAAGGTCAGAGCAGGGGTGACAGCTGGGAATACGGGGAGTGGGAAAGAGACTGGAAGTTATGATGACAATGAAGGCTAGATTTAGGAGGCAGAAGGAAAGATTAAAAGATAAGTTATGCCTGGGGAGAGGAATTCTAGTTAAGGATCATGGAGATGAAATAATTATGAGGGATCAAGGGTATGGCTATCCTTGCAAGTACTAAGACAGAGTGAAGGTAAAAGTTCACAGGAGTTCAGGAGCTCTCCTGTGCTTTAACTGGGAAGCCAGATTATTTCAGGGGAGACAGGTATGTATGGTGAAGTACCCAAGTAAAACAGCAGGAGTCTGGAAAGAAAGGGAACCTGAACCACATTCTGAACCTCAGAACACCTGTCGGAAGGAATTGTACTGGTTCATAACAAAGGAAGTAGTAAACCTCAAAGGAAGAGAGTTCTGTGAGATGGTGGCAAATAGGCAGTCTGGAAGTCAAAAATGAGGGAGTAGGTAGTAATCCTACTTCTGGCAGAGGCACGAGAGGAAAAACCACTCAGCCCTGGAGAGGATATTTAGGCAAGGCTACAACTGATTTCAGAGGAGCTTGCAGCTGCCCCTCCTCTGTGTTACCTGTGCCTCGTGCACTCTGGTTCTGCCATAAAGACTTTAAGGTTGTATTTGTTTTTTCTCTCTAACTTAAGCTCTCACATCTGATCAGTTACCAGGTCCTGTCAAGCCCACTTCTACAAGCTCATGCAAATCTGTCCTCTCTTCCTGGGTCCTATAGCTACCACCCTAGGACAACTACCTGGATCCTTGCAATAACCTGCTAACAAGTTCCCACCTTCACTCTTTCTGTGCTATGATGTGTCTTTCATATCACTGCAAGAACAAATTTTCTTAGTAGTAAGATATAAAATAAACCCATAAAAAATCATCAGCCTTTCTGTATGTTACTAATAAAACCTGGCAAGTTGATACTGAAAAAACAAAAACAAAACCTATTCAAAGTAAATATGGTAACTACAAACTACTACAAAGTACCTTTATTCAGACTGTATAAAGTATCTGAGAGCCTACCTATCTATCAACACACTCAGGACATAGGATGACACCAACAAAACACTTTTGGCCAAAATAAGAAGAAATAATAAAGTATTAAATAATTGGAGAAATATTAATTGCTCATAGTTGATCTGCGCCAATATGATAAAAACACTGTTACTGTCTAAACTACTTTACAAAGTTAGTGCCATACCAATCAAATTACGAAGGAATTATTTTATAGATATAGATAAAATAATAACAAAATTCATCTGGAGGAACAAAAGGTCAAGAAATTTAAAGGGAATATTTTTTAAAAGTAGGGGTGGGGGAACCTGGTAATACCAGGTCTCAAACTATACTATTAATAAGTAATCATAGGTGGGGCAGTGGATAGAGCTACTGCCTTGGAGTCAGGAGGACCCGAGTTCAAATGCAACCTCCGATACTTGACACTTACTAGCTGTGTGACCCTGGGCACATCACTTAACTCCAATTGCCTCACCAAAAAAGCAAAAAAAAAAAAAGTAATCATCAAGAGATTTAGTCCTTGTTAAAAAATATAAAAATTGACCAATGGAAGAGATTAGATAGTGAACACCATCGAAAAACAACTGAATACAGTAGCATAGTGTTGCTAAAACCAGGGACACTAATTACTAGGGTGAGGACCTACATGTAACAAAAATTACTGAGGAAAATGGAAAGTAGTATAGAAGAAATTAGATCTAAATCTGGAGATCGAACCCAGGGGTCTGTGAATTTGTTTTAAAAATGTATTTGGTAGCTATGTTTCAATATAACTCATTTAATTCGTAATCTTATGTATTTTATTTTATGCATTTAAAAACATTATTCTGCGAAGGGGTCCAGAGACTTCACAGGAATGCCAAAGAAGTCTGTGACAAGTTAAGAAGTCCTGCTTTAGAAAACCATGTTATGCCATAAGCCATGATAAATTACAAATGGACAAATGATTTCAAGAGGAAACGGTCATATCATTAAAAATTAGATGACAAAGGAAGGAGATATGTTTTATAACTACGACTGGGAGGGAAGTAGGGGGAAAATTCTTACCTAAATAAGGGAGAGAGATGATCATAAGAGACAAAATGAACAAAGGTAATAATTACAAAGATAAACAGGAACAAAGTGAGTTGGTAAAAATAGACGTGGAGGAAAAAGACATTTACATTTTATTCATTGAAATTAAACTGTAAATGGCTACTAAAGTTTAGGAGATTATATTGATGTTTAATAATTAAGTTTTCAATAAAACATTTAATTTTTAAAAGCAAAAAAAGCGCTTTCATTTGCATAGATTTCATCACGTCACTCATCTGTTTCAAAAAACTTTTGTGGCAATGTTATTGCACCATAAGAAATGACAGAAGGAATGGTTAAAAAACCCTGGGAAAATGAGTATGAACTTATGGACAATCACGTCAGCAAAGCCAAGACAACAAGTCATATAGTAACAGCCAAATTGTTAAAAACAAAACACAACAAAGATGGAAGACTTGTGATAACTCTGATCACTGCAGTGACCAACCATCGCTCCAGAGGACTTACTCTTGAAAGTGGGGTGATATATTCTGGGTTTAGAATGAGATTTACACGCACGCACATGTGAGCGCGTGCATGCACGTGCGTGTGTGTGTGTGTGTGTGTATGTATAGATACAGATATGTACGTGGACACAAACGTGTGGATTTACATTGCTTCAATGGTAATTTGTACATGGATAATTTTTTTTAAAGGGAGGGTGGTGGGTGGGAAGAGAGGAGAGCCAGGAATAGGCATTTAAAAAAGGAAAGAGGGTCATTGAAGCATTTTTAAAAAACACATAAAAAACAAATTTCTAAGGAAATACAAGCAGACTGCTTTAGAAGTGACATACTGAATTATCATATACTTAAACAGCAAGCTATATGTAATGAAGATTCTCAGTTTCAGATATAACCCTCTTTTTTGGTTCTGCTTTATTTAGGGAAATATTCCTTTTTCGGTTGGTTCATTAAATTCAGAATAAAAAAAAATTTTTTTAAATCTTCAGTGGATCCCTACTGCTTACAGAATAAAATTCACACTTCAGTTGTTACATGGTTTTAAGACCCTCAATATTTTGGCATCAGTCTTCATTTTCTCACCTTATCTCCTATCATCCCTCTCTGACTGACCCAGCAAAACCAGACTACTCTCCTTTTCCTGAAGACACTCTCCCACTTTCATGCCCTTCCTAATGTTCTCTCCTAAGCATGGAATTTTTGTTTCTTGAAAAATATTCATTTAAAGCCCAGTTCAAACGTCACTTCTTCCAGGAAGCGTTCCCTGATTCACCATCTGTAGGACCTCTTATACCACTCTGTTTTGCACTTTTCATGTAGTATTGTTTAATTGTCTATGTTTGTGTCCCATGCCCCTGCTACACTATAAGCAACATACAGGCTGGCCGATGTCTTAGCTATAGCTTTTATCTCCCCCAGTACTGAGCACAGTGCTCTCATGCAGTAGATCTTTAGTAAATGTTTACTGATTCACTAACTACAACAATTCCCTAGTTCCCGATGATGAGACCTCCAGAAATGAATTCATTTTCCATGAGAGATCAGGGATACTCCCAGTTTATTTCTATGACCAGCTATAACATGACCAAACAATCCCTCTTTCCTTACTCTTCAAGATGAGGATCCCTTGCTTTTCCAGCGCAACAAAAAGGGTACTCCTTTCAGAGAAGACCTATAGAAACGAGACCTATGAAAGGCCTCTCTTGAGCCAATCGGTACATAAAGACACCATGATCATGGCTCCCAACTCAGACACTCACCCTCAGAAGGCCTGTATTTAAATAGTGAATCTATTGCCTTACTCAAACAACATCAATCCAGTAAAAATAACGATCTGGGAAGCTCTCCTAGTCTTCTTTGCATTAAGGATGGCCAGCTTCCACAAAAAATAACCTCTACCCTTATAATTCAAACAAAACTCAACTTAGAAGTCTGCCAAATGGGGTGAAAAAAGCCACAATATGAATGAGGTACAGTATCTCTAAAACCCTAAATGAATAGAATCTTTTTTTTCAAACTATAATCATATAACTCAATGAACACCCTAATAAGGAGAATACAAAGAAAGAAAGTCACATATTTGTAAAATAATTCTACATTACTTGCTAACTTTGACTCCTGCATCTCTGTAGGATCCCCATCTGAGACCAGATAATGCAAACACAGGCTGTTCCTTTTCTCCCTGGAAGTTAAGTAAACACAGGAAATGAAGGTTAATGATTCCAACAAATGCAATCATACTAACATAATTTTAAATTTTTAACAGTTTTTTTGGGGGTTCTAAATTCTCTCCCTCCCTCCTGCCCTCCACAGCCCATTGAGAAGGAAAGCAATATGATACCCATTATACATGTGAAGTCATGCAAAACATATTTCCATATTAGCCACAACACAGTCTTTCTACGTTAGTGTGCAGATAGTGTTCTTGATTTCTTTTAAACCATAACAAAAATATGAAAATCCTTTTCAAATTGTAAAGAAAAGTGATTACTGCTCTGCACGATGGACATGGCCTTCAAAACAAGTCATACTTTTAAAAAAGGCCAATCCTCAGCCATTCTAACAAAGCGATCAGCCAACAACGGTGTGTTGCTACCTTTAGATTATAAAAAAATGGTCTTACAATACGTACAGCTTGGGAGTTGAGTTTATCTTAGTTTCTTTTCCCTTGTATACCTTTTACAAGGACAAAGTTGATTAGAGCCTGCCATCTTTATCAGTCTGGGAATTTAATAAGGGGATCAGAGCACTGGCATAATAGAGTATCTCAGGAAGACTGGCCATGATGGCAGTCTTATTACCTGTTATTGCTGGTGGCACACTTGTGGTTTACTGTATTTCCAAATATTCCAAGAGTATTTTTGGGGGGAGGGTCTCTGCAGGTGTCCATAATTCCTGATAGGTTTTGAAACAGGTTTTTACCCTTTCTGTGCTACGTGAGAAATACTTCTAATTTAGTCTGAAGATTCAAGGAAGGCAGTAGTAAGTTATGTGAAAGGCAGCTAGCCCAGAATGCTTTAGAGAGGAAGAAGGATGAATTCTGGAAGGGCTGGCTGCTAGGAATGATATATCTCCAGAGAAAATAAATTCTAAATAATTAGTATTTTTCCCAAAGAAAAAAATTCCTAGCAGTGACTATGGTAGCTATGGAACCAAAAGGTACAGAGTGAGGTCAGGTCATTAAGTAGCTACTATCAGACTAAACAGAAACTCTCAACAAAAAGCTAAATCTAAGCAATAATGAACTGGGAAAGGATGGTGGAAAGGGCAGTTAACCACTTTGCATTTCTACTTGGAAATATCCCTCAGAGCTGCCATCACGGCCAACCTGTTGCTGAACAGCTTTTAACTTTATATAGTTTTCTACCTCACTCGAAGCAGAAGAGCTAAAGTTTGTTGACCAGCTGGGATGGTTCTTTTGGATACTAGCACCCCTGATGGATGATGACAAAAGAAGCAGAACTATCACCACAAACTGTTTTTGTGCCTGTTTCAGTATAAAGATATGTATGGTAGTCCATATTTCATCTTGAGATGTGTAGGATGATTTCCTGGGAAGGAAAGATTAGGGGAGCAGATGGGAAGATTATGCCTTGATTGATATGAAAGTAAGATACTGTGTAGGACAGAAATTTAGGATGAATCCTAAAAAAAGTACAACTGCAGATCAAAAGTCACATATGAGATTCACCTAATAGGAGTTTTAATTTGAGGACCTTTGGAGATAGAAGAAATTAAGTATGAGAAATCAACAAGGCTTCTTTTCCCTGAGGACATAGGTAGAAAAATAGTAGTGACATGAACCTTGATGAAATGAACCTTTGGTCTAGAAATATTCGGTAATCAAAGATAAATGATATGGACTAAACCCTATGGAAAGAGTACAGATGGGTCCAAGGCTACAGGAGAACCATTCTTATATATGCCACAAGTGGTTTTCAGGCTAAGTTTCACTCTTCGTTTTTAGATATTTTATTAAAAACATAAAAACCAGAACCTAAACGAGTGTCCTCCTATTGGGGACTGACTAAATAAAATATGGTACTATATATAATGGAATACTATTGTGCCATAAGAAATGATGAAATGGATAAATTCAGAGGAAACTGGGAAGAGCCGTATGAATTGACTCAGAGCAAAGTGGAAAAAACAATTTATACAATGACAAAAATATTATAAGGAAAAACAACTTTGAAAGATTTTAAAACTTTTGAAAATTTTAAAATTAACTATGAGTCCAAAAAAATAAAGATGAAATACACCACTCATCTCCTAATAATGAGATAAAAATCTATTTTCAGATATGGCTAACATAGGAACTCATTTTGTTGGACTACGCAGCTATTTATCAAAAGCTTTATTTATTTTTAAAATACGATTAATGAAGGAGGGATAGTCGGGAAGGCCAGATTAAATTTTTTTTAAAAGGTTGCTAACTGAAAAAATAAAAAACAAAACCACAAATTATTATTGAAATCACAGAAAGAAAATGCAGGCCACATTAAAATTATTGGGAGAGAAGGAAAATATAATATGAATTTCAACAGTAATCTTTGACTAAAGTCTAATTTTGATGCCTCATCATGGTGTGAAAATAGATGGCTCTGGGTTCTGGAAGGCTATGATGGTGAAACTTAAGTCACAGCAGTGCTTGCTTACCCAAGTTTGAGTCTGGATCTGGGCACGGGCTGTGGGTCTACTATCTGAAGACCAGACTAGTTAGATCCTGCAAAGTTCAGTTCATCATCAAAAGGCTAATGACCCAATGATAAGTTTTTCTGGCCATAGCATCTCATCTCCTAAGGCTGGTAGGGGTTTTGAACTACATCAGTGGAGAAGATGCCAACTGTGACTGATGAAACAAATGGACAGTGTGAAATATTGAAGGAAAAAAGTGTCATTTTTAGCAAGAAAAAACTTTCAGCAACCATCTCCCTCTGAGGAAAATCTTAAGAAAGAGCCAAGTATAATGGCATCCAACTCAGCATTAAGGGAGTCCAGGGCCCAGGTCCTCTGCTTTACCTTATGAGGAAGGGTAACATTTTGTACCAGTTTGTCAACATACAAAGTTGTTTTTATGTGTAGAGGTCTGGTTTCTTCGAGTGGGGTCAAATTTTCCTCAAATCTAGGCTTGCTTCCAAAGGATTCCATTCTGGGAGAAGTGATCCCTTCTCTTTTAACTATGTACAATGAACCCATTGTGTAGGTAAAGGAAGATGTGCCAGACAGGGCAAGTCAGCCAACAAACATTTGAACTGTGATCAGCATTTGAACTGTGCTAAGTACTGGGTATACAAAGAAATATGAAGGACAGTCCATGCTCTCTAGGAGCTCACAGTCCAATGGAGAGAACAACATGAAAATATGTACAAACAAGATTTATACAGGATAAATTGGAGATAATCAATAGAAGAAAAACACTAACATTAAGGGAGATCTGGAAAGGCTTTTTGTAGAAGGTGGGATTTTTAATTGGAACTTGAAAGAAACTAGGGAAGCCAGAAGGTAGAGATGAAAAGGTAGAGAATTCCAGGTATGAGGGGCAGCCAGTGAAAGTACCTGAAGTGGGACATGAAGTGTCTTGTGGGAGGAACAGCAAGGAGGTCAGTGACACTGGATCAAAGAGTACCTGGGAGGGAGTATGGGGTAAGACGCCTTGAAAGGGTGGAGGGGGCAAGGTTATGAAGGGCTTTGAAAAACCAAACAGAGGGTTTTATATTCGCTCCCACAGGTGAGATAGGGCTGGGGGTTCATAGTCAGACCTGCCCTTTGGAAAAATAGCTCTGAGAGCTGAGTACAGGAAGATGGACTAGATGGGGAAAAGGCTTGAGGCAGAAAAAAAACAAAAAAAAAACCCCAAAAAACGAAAGGCTACTGCAATAGTTCAGAGAATCAGGTGCTAAATAGTGTGAAGGAAGAATTTACAAGACTTGGCATCAGAATGTACTACAGGCAACATACAGACTAAACAGGGAAAGAAGAGTGATGAAAATCAAAGTTCTCAAAGAGCTACTGCTCAAATTATGAGCGGAAGAACATGTATATCCCACAGTGTTAGATCTACACATTTAGGGATACCATTTAAAAACTTTCCTTTACCACAGGAAGGTCCAGATCCTTAAGGGCTAAGATGGCTAAGGTATATTACTTACTTAGCCCATCAGTAATTCTAAAGCATAAGAATAAAAGCCTGAGTCTCTTCTGGAAGGCTTAGCAGTAAGAAGGCAGTCAGACTGTACAAACAGCTTGTCCCTATGTGAGAAAACCGTGGTAGGCAGTTAAGAGGTAGATTCACTGTAGCTGTTACTGGACAGTAAATAAATGCCACTTGGAGGTATGATTTGCTAATCCGCAGGCGCACTTCTTACATGGGGAACAACACTACAACTAATCTCTGTTAAAGGATATGTCTAGAAGAGATCCTGTCCAAACTCATCCAACACGATTTCGGCAACTGCCTCCAGGCTGTCTTTGTTAATGAAGCCCAACATTTTTTGATAGAAGGTTGTAGGAAAATGGCAGAAGGGGAAAGAAATGTTGACTGAAGTAGGGAGGTGAGAAGACACCTCTGAGGTTCTCAGTTGAAGAATTATTTGGGCTGAAGATAGATAGATAGATAGATAGATAGATAGATAGATAGATAGATAGATAGATAGATAGATAGATAGACAGATAGATAGACAGACAGATAGATAGATAGATAGATATCCCTGACTTGGAGAAGATAAGCCTTCTAAATGATTGTGCGGAAACCTGGGGCTGAAGTAGAAGATACCCTGGGCCTGGAAGATTTAATTCTTAGTGTAACTGGTCTTGGAAGACTTAACCCTGGATTAAGAAAGAGAGGATCACACTGACACCTGCAGATATTCCCCTAGGAAATCACTTTTCAAGTAGTAGGGATGCAGGATACGATACTTGTTTTATTCCCTTCAAGTCTGAAAATTTCTTATGAGCATGAATCACATCTTATTCAACTTTACAGTCTCTCAGGGTGCTTAGAGGGTCAAGCAGGGGAAGATTTTCACTTTAGAGAATTTAAATGAATTAAATAGGGATACTTCCTGTTTGGAGCAGTTAGGTGGCAAAGTGGATAGAGCACTAGGCCTGGAGTTAGGAAGACCTGAGTTCAAATGTGACTTCAGACATTTACTAGCTGAGTGACCCTAGGCAAGTCACTTAACCCTGTTTACCTCAGTCCCTCATCTGTAAAATAAGCAGGAAAGGGAAATGGCAAACTAACCCAGCATCTTTGCCAAGAAAATCCCCAAATGGGGTCACAAAGAGTCAGATACAACTGAAATAACTGAACAATGACAACAAAACTTCACCTGTTGATTAATTCCCTAAGTGAACCTGGCTTGGAGGCCTAATGAGGAATTTAACTGAGCTGAGGAGTGTTAGGGCAGGGAACAGAAAACAGCTCCTTTTGGTCTTAGGAAGAGTACTCATCTATTTGTCAAGAGGACCTCAAATGAAATGTGTCATTAACCACTGACTGCTAAGAAATTTACCACAGTTGAAGACTATGGTCTCATACTGGTCACCTCACTTCAGAGAATAGCACTTAAGCTGTTAGGAACAAAGGAAGGAAGAGACAGTAGGCAGGGAAATGGTGTTCCCTCTCATTTTATCCTATCTGCCATTCATTCATTTATATTAAACACTTACTGTGACAAAGACACAATGACAGTGGTTAGGGAAATAAAAACAAAAATAAAAACAGTTCTATGTGGACATAACTGGAAAATCTCTAAATGGGACATTAGAAAGAAGAACCAGTGATGGTTCCATGTACATTTCAGGTACAATAATAATATTAATGATTATGGCTTATATTTATATAGTGCTTTTAAGGGTTGCTCTTTACAAATATAAACTTACTTGATCTTCACAACAATCCTGGAACATAGAAGCTATTATTACCCCCATTTTACAGATGGGGAAACCAAGGCAGGTGTCTTAAGCAGCATGTGAACTCAGGTCTTCCTGACTCCAGGTCCACTGCTCTATTGTGTCACCTAGCAAGGATTCTACTCATATCAGGTACCACACTATTGATCCAATGGGGACAAAATGTCTTTTACTCAACTGCAATACCTTCCAGAGATTTCTTAACTACATAAATAATTAGAATTTAAAAGGCCTATATGGATATGGGGGAAGAGGGAGGAAGGGATGGCACAGGGAGAAGGAGGCTGCAGGTAGAGAGAGGAATAGCAGTTAAATAATTTATTTTCCTAATCTACAAAGAGATTGGTCCAGGAAGCCAGGTCAAATTTACTTTAGCTGGGTGCAAAAGAAACTAAAATAGTCTGGAATATGACATTTTCTGAGGATCTAAGACCTATTTGTGGATGTTCTCCACTTCTTTGGCCATACTAGCAGAATAAAGAGCAGTTATAAACCAACAATGGATGAATCAGCTCACAAAATAGGAACATTTGAAACAAAAAAGGAAAACAAGAGAGAAGGTGCTGAGATGATAAGCATGATCAAGAAGAGTCCTCTCTATCCCTCGTTGGTGGCAATGCCAAACCATTCTCGCTTTGGCCTCCAGACACTTTCTCTACTGCATCACATGGCAGTTATAAAAAAAGAACACACAGGCTTGGCAGGAGGTGACGGCAGAAAAAGGAAAGGAGGAAAAAACAAAAAAAAACAAACAAACCTTTGTACCAGTATATCAAGCAGGCAAAATAAAAGAGCCACGTGAAGCAACTGAGAGCAGAGCCTCACTTCCTTTGTAACTAGCAGCATTTTTAAATATGCTTTCATTTTATCCATCGTCTTGGAATAGATTTCAAAGGGCCTTGAGCATTTACTTCAGTACAGAGCACTCCTTTTATACATAAACATAAAGATTTGAACATCTTCAATATGTAAGCAGTTAGTTCAAAATATCAGAATAATTTTAACAACTAGAAACAAGGCAATGGATTTTTATCTTTGTCTATACATACTATACGCTCCTGTCACTAATTTTTTAAAAGGGAACTTCACTGAGAGAAAAGGAACCTGGATGTGGCAAGTAATTTTTCAGCAGAAATTCGATGGCTTTCCCTACCTTGATCTGCAGCACATCAAGTGGAATAGTTTCTCCTTTCACAATGGCCAGCGTGGCATCTGTAATGTGCCTGAAAGACAATCAGGTGGACATAACATTTTACATTCATATAACACTTTAAGGTGTGCAAAATACTTTCCTTTCATTAACTTTGTGATGCAAGTACTATAGTATTCTATCTATTTTACAGATGTGAAAACATGAGGCTCTGAAAGGACTCGCGTTAACTGCACGTCCAGCACTCTATTCACTGACACACAGAAGACACATGCAAAGTCTATGTTGCGTACATTATTGATAATCTTTACGGGCCAAGATGGCGGAGTGAAAGCAGTGACTTGCTTGAGCTCTCTCCCAAACCCCTCCAAATACTCATAAAAAAAATGACTCTAAAAAAATTCTAAAGCAGCAGAACCCACAAAAAGACAGAGTGAAACAAATTTCCAGCCCAAGACAACCTGGATGATTGATCAGAAAGGTGTATCGTGCCGGGCTGGGAGCGCAGAGCAGCATGGGCGCGCAGGCTGCAGCGAACCTGGAGCAGGCCTCAGAGGATTGAATCTCGGGCAGCTGTGGACTCCTCAATCCATGAATGCCAAAGTCAATTTAGAAGGTCAGTGGGAAAAGTCTGTTTCTGTCCGTGCTAAGACAGGAAAGTGGGGTTTCAGCTCCATTCCCCAAGAGCGTGGGGGGGGGCGCAGCTGCTTCCCGAGCTTCTGGCCCACAGACTGAGGGGGAATTCAGTGGCTGATCAGAGAGGGATTGCAGGGATCTCTTTGCCAGTGCTGAGGCAGGAATCTCTTGCTTTGCCCGTGTGTGGATCTGGGTCACAGTTCTGGGCTGCGGAGCTGGGGTGAGGAGGAATGCTGGAGTGGTGGAGCTTGGGAGTGGCTGTGGAGAGGAACCCTTCCTCACAGTTACGGGACAGAAAGGAATACTTGTGCTCACAGGCCAGGAAAGGAGTAAACACCTCTCCCCTTATCATACCACCTTGGAAGAACTGAAAACTTACAGGTCCCTACAAGTATCTCTGAAAACAGCTATACAAACCCCTGAAGCTTGGGACAGCACTCTCCACATTAGAAGCAGACTCTTACCTTAACAAAGAGTTTAAAACTCAAGTAATCGGCTGGGATCATGAGCAAGCAGAGCAAAAAGAGTCAGACCATAGCATCTTACTTTGGTGAAAAAGAAGATCAAAATATACAACCAGAAGAAGACAACAAAGTCAAAGCTCCTACATCCAAAGCCTCCAAGAAAAATATGAATCAGTCCCAGGCCTTGGAAGAGCTCAAAAGGGATTTTGAGAAGCAAGTAAGGGAAGTAGAGGAAAAACTGAGAGTGATGCAAGAAAATCATGAAAAACAAGTCAACAGCTTGCTAAAGGAGACCCAAAAAATACTGAAGAAAATAACACCTTAAAAAATAGCCTAACCCAAATGGCAAAAGAGGTCCAAAAAGCCAATGAGGAGAAAATGCCCTAAAAAGCAAAATTGGCCAAATGGAAAAGGAAGTCCAAAAGATTACTGAAGAAAATACTTCCTTAAAAATTAGAATAGAGCAATTGGAAGATAGTGACTTTATGAGAAATCAGACACAGTGAACAAATCCAAAAGAATGAAAAATTAGAAAACAATGTGAAATATCTCATTGGAAAAACAACTGACCTGGAAAATAGATCCAGGAGAGAGAATTTAAAAATTATTGGACTATCTGAAAGCCATGATCAAAAAAAGAGCCTAGACATCATCTTTCAAGAAATTATCAAGGAAAACTGCCCTGATATAGTAGAACCAGAGGGCAAAATAGAAATTGAAAGAATCCACAGATCTCCTCCTGAAAGAGATCCCCAAAGGAAAACTCCTAGGAATATTATAGCCAAATTCCAGAGTTCCCAGGTCAAGGAGAAAATATTACAAGCTGCCAGAAGGAAACAGTTCAAGTACTGTGGAAACACAATCAGGATAACACAAGATTTAGCAGCTTCTACATTAAAGGACCACAGGGCATGGAATATAATATTCCGGAGGGCAAAGGAGATAGGATTACAACCAAGAATCACCTACCCAGCAAAACTGAGTATAATCCTTCAGGGGAAAAAATGGTCATTCAGTGAAATAGAGGACTTTCAAGCATTCTGATGAAAAGACCAGAGCTGAATAGAAAATTTGACTTTCAAATACAGGACTCAAGTGGAACATGAAGAGGTAAACAGGAAAGAGAAATCATAAGAGACTTATTAAGATTGAACTGTTTACATTCCTGCATGGAAAGATGATATTTATAACTCATGAGACCTTTGTCAGTATTAGGGTAGTTGGAGGAAAAAAATTATATGTATGTATATGTAGATAGATAGAGGGCACAGGGTGAGTTGAAGATTAAGGGGTCATATCTGGAGAATAAAATTAAGGGATGAGAGAGGATTATACTTGGAGAAGAAGAAAGGGAGAGGTAGAATGGGGTAAATTATCTCACAAAAAAAAACAGAAAAGAAAAGTCTCTTACAGTGGAGGGAAACGGGGGAAGGTGAGAGGGAATGAGTGAATCTTATTCTCATAGGATTTGGCTTAAGGAGGGAATAACATACACATTCAATTGGGTATGGAAATCTGTCTTACCCTACAGGAAAATAGGGGAGAAGGGGGAAGAGAGCAGGGGGATGATAGAGAGGAGGGCAGATTGGGAAAGGGTAATCAGAAGTAAATACTTCTGAGGAGGGACAGGGTCAAAAGAAAGAATAGAATAAATGGGAGGGCAGGATAGGATTAAGGGAAATAGAGTTAGTTTTTCACAACATGTCTACTATGGACATGTTTTGCATAACTGCACATGTACAACCTATATTGAGTTGCTTGCCTTTTCAATGAGGGTGGGTGGGGAGGGAGGAAGAGAGAAAATTTGAAACCTAAAGTTTTAAAAACATATGTTTAAAAAAAAGTTTTCACATGCTACTGGGAAATAAGAAATACAGGAAATGGGGTACAGAAGTCTATCCTGCCCTACAGGAAAACAGAAGGGGAAGGGGATAAGAGAAGGGGAGAGAGATAGAAGAGAGGACAGACTAGGGGAAGGCATATTCAGAATGCATGCCATCTTGGGGCAGGGGGAGGGGGGAGATGGGGTGAAAATCTGGAATTCAAAAACTTGTGGGAGTGAATGTTGAAAACTAAAAATAAATAAATTTATATTGAAAAAAAAATCTTTACGCCAATGCTCTGAGGTAAATACTATAACTATTAGTTAATGATGAGGCAGGTGAGGAAACAAGCTTAGAGGCCACGTAGCTAGTAGGCATCAGGGGTAAAAAAGTAAGCTAAGTTTCTTATCCCCTAGCCATCCAATCTGTGCAGGGGCCACCTGGAGCTCATCTCCAGAAAGCAGGCTGGAGTCCACTTGAACTTTACTCCCTCTCTTTTGTCCTCAAGGAGCTGAATTACTTATCTTTTGAAAATAGAGCACTTAGCAGCTTAAAGTATCGGATTGGCCACTTGAGGAAAGGGGAAATTGTATAGCCACTTCAATTATGTTCATCTCAAAAAGAAACTTACCAGAAACACTGAAGGTCCTAAAAAAATTTCATTTACCTTAAGCAAAACCCTAGGAATACTATTGTAGAGTTAAGTGCATAGTAGTTTTTGAATAAAAGAACGATCTTCACCTACATGCAGAACACTGTTGTGTCTTTAAAAACTCAGGCATATCATTTCCAAATTGTTTTGTAAAGTGAAGAACAGAAGTCAATGAACTCCTGGCCTTAAGTGTCATTGTTCAGCAACTGTCCAAAGCACTGAAAAGTAACACTTCAGCATATCACCACACTTCAGTATCAATATCAGAATGGATTTTGATAATAGGATCCTCAACTCATTTAGCTGAACAACTCCAACATTCAAGGTTCTTTTTTCTCTAAGGCAATCATAGCATAACAAATCTTGACAGTAGTGCGAAAAAGCAATATCTTGCTCTGTTTAGTTGGCCTTAGGCACTTGCCGTATTACCAGAGGCTGCAAACATTATGAACTTAGGCTTGGCTGACTTGATTAGACAAGAGCCTTGGGGTATGATTACAAATTAATTTTAATTTAATTTTTAAAAGCAGCAAAAGGAAGAGTAATATTTTGATTACAGGATAAGCAAGCCTAAAAACTGGAGTTTGTCCTTTTGCCTGAGAAAGAGTAGCCTCGGCTATGAGGAATGAGGATAAAGGAATAGGTAAAAAGGAGAAAGATAGGTATAAAGTTCCAAAGATAAATTTTCCCTCCAAGGGAAAGGTTCTGCCTCTAGGTTTCCTAAACTATACAGCAAGGATATGTTGGCTAAAGCAGGTCAACTGAAAGGAAGGGAAAGACAAGATCTCAAAAGGAATCAAGACCCAAACCACAGAAGGCTTATGTCAGGCAAATAAAACTCTTATCAATTCAATGTTTTTCAACTGCCTCTCTGAAAATCTCACCTGAAGAGAACAAGCACAGCTCATTTCACTGGCCTCTTGCATCTATCCCTGGTTTCAGGGTGGCTGGGGATGAACTGACCTGTTGTATTAAGGGCCAAATCACTGGGGGAGTTTTAATGAAAGATGTAATCTGAGTTTGTTTACCTGTCAAATATCTAAGGTACCATATGGTGAAAGCACTTGAAGGCAGAACGCTTATATACATTGAGAAGCATTAAATGGCCTAGTACTTTGTAACTATTAAAATAAACTTTACCAAAAAAAAGCCTGAAAAATAGAAAACAGTTCTGAAATATACAGAGATGCACTAACAACCAAAAAAGCACGTTAGTACCACATCAGGTTTATAAAACTTTTTATTGAGGGGACAGAAGAGGAACAAAAGAGGGATAGAAGAATCTCTTAACTCTTACACCAAGACTCTTCACCTGACGAAAAGTTGTAAAAAAATAATTGCTTGTGATTACCATATTTTAGGTGCCAGAGCTGCATTTGTCTTCTGCTGAACATACAGACTTGGTCTATTGAAGTTACCCCCGAAAACGAATATTAGGTTGTTAAGATAATCTGTTTATAGGGTTATACCAATGAGACCAAAGAACAGGCTTACTTCAAGCAGTGGCTACTCTCAATTCCCTGGCCATATCTCATTCACAACAGTAGACTATTTCTGGCAATGGGACCTAGAAAGATGGATTATTATTACTACCACTGAAAACAAAGCAAAGTAAATAACAATCCTAATTCCAAGTTCTACTGATGGGGCAGCAGAACTGTCACCAACATACGGCCAGCTACTCAAACATTCTTTCCTAACTTCGGTCTTTCCCACAGTATCTCCTTTCTTGATCATTATGAGCACAAGTCCTACCAGGACATTTACAACTATTTTAATAAACCTCTACCTCCTTCCTTGTGGCTTCAAACTTTTAGTTTTATTTATCATTTCTATATTCATTTTGCCTTCTCTTTTACCAATTTCTCTTCTAATTTTCAGTATTTCCTCTTTTTTTGGCTTATTTTGGGTTTATTTTGGCTAATTTTAAAGTGAATATGTAGTTTATTAAAACTCTTTTCTACTTAATAATGTATGTTTCTAGGGATATAATTTCTCCCTCTCAAGGACTGCCTTAGTGATAACCCAGAAATGTTAGTGTATTGTTTCATCATTACCAGTTTCTTTCATATAATTATTGTTTCTGTATCTCTAATGTGTGACTACAAGCTAACAACACTTTGACACAAGCTATATCATGCATGTGATTTCTTCCTTCCATTCCATCACATTCATTAATGTTAAATTCCCACATACACAACCTACTGGACTTTGTTTCCACTTTCGGGGAAGAGTGTACTGCTCAAACTGCAGGTCTGTCCCAGTGGGATAAATCCTATGGGAATCTTACTGAAGGTAACCTGGAGAGGTGAAGGAAAAAAAAAAAGGAAAGAATGGGAAAAAGTCAGGTTAAGACAAGATCACAGCTGTGTTAGTTAGGACAGCACAATCCCCATTCCTGGAAATGGAACCCAGGTATCAGTAGTTGGGCATATCTTCAAACCAGGCAATGAATAATGACTTAGAGTTTGGCAGAAAGACTCCGGAGAACCCACTAGGGGCCAACAAGTTAGAAAAGAGCTTTGTGAGATGAATAGGGCCATAGTCATACAGACTGGTGGAAATACACTAACAAGAAACAGAGGAATAGAATCAATCAGGTACTCCCTCCTCCCAATTTGAAAATGCTGAACAGAAAATGAAAATACTCAGATTTTATTTAAAAAATTAAAACAGATTTAATTTTTATCTAGTATTTCTAATTTAAAATATCTTTATTTTATTTGTCTAAATTTTAAAAATCCAAAGTTCTATGTGATAGACTTGCTTTATCATTCAAGATGCTGGACCATCTCCAGTTGTCCTGATCTATATCTCACCACTAGACCCAGATGGTTAAGGAAGATAAAGTGAGGCTAGTGACTTTGCACAGCCCTCCCTCACTTAAGACCAATTCACTTGCAAGTCATGGCATCATCTTCCTGATGTCATGGTCCTGTTTGAGAATGAAGGACAAACCACAATCATTCAAGAAAGAATACAACATGAAAGAGGGAGGCAGTGATATAGTGAAAAGAATGCTAGATTTAGATTCAGAGGAGTTGGGTTCAAATCCCAGCTCTGTCCCTTACAAGGTGACCCTATGCAAGTCACTTTATCCTTTGGAGACTCAACTTCCTCACCTGCAAAATGAACAGTTGAACTACATACATGACTTCTAAAGGCCCTTTGAGTTCTACCTGTACGATCTATAGTTAGCCTTTTTGGTTAAAAAAAAATTTTTTTAATCATTACTTTTCCTTTTCTACCATGAAGGCTCCAATGTTATAAACCAATCACAATAAACTGCATGACCTGTAATATCCTACAGCAAGATGATCTAAAGTAATTAATTTACACAATTCTGCAGCTTACACTACCGTACTCTGATGACTTAATACAATCTGCATTCCCCATGAGCTGTCTTTGGGTCAATACTCTCTAGACAAGGTGACCCAGAGGATCTACAGTGTGACTCAACTGAATCCAACCAACAAAAGAAATTAAGTTGGCTTCTGAGGAGGCAAAAAAGACACCATTTTAGAAACATATGATATGACTGGAAGGGGCTTCCCAGACAGCTTCACTAATAGCCTAACTGAGCAATTAACAAACAGTTGAACCTCCCATTACTCCCAGTAATCAGCTTTTCATTGGTCCAGTTAAATGCTGAAGAATGCTGCTTTTTGGCTGTGTACTCTGAGAGGGCGGAAAAACTATATAGATCAAATCTATACAGTAGGAAGGGAGTGCTACTGACAACAAAAGGTAATCTCCCCTAGTATATTAGTAAATGTACTTCCCTTTCAGTTTGGTCACTCATATTATTTGACTTCCAGTATGTTGAGGGAGATTCTCCCTGAGCTCTTTAGGAGCCCAGGTGGAAAAATTTCTGGACACTTTAATCACTCCTAGTTTCACCTCCCCTACCACACCGCTTAGAGAGGGTTTTAAGTTTCTTCAGGAAGCAGAAAAAACATCTCCAAGTTCCTCTAGCTTTATAACTGATGGGGATTCTAATCTAACTGAGGCAAACAGAAATGAGAAGCTGGTGAGACAAGAAAGGCGGCAAGGCACCAAAACGCAGCAAATACCATGAAAATGATGGACACAGACATATCTCCAAAGACTGTTTTTTGTAGAAAAGGTTCTTTAGAAAATGACTTTTTTTTCTGCTGGGGGAGGAAGATTATATAGTAAAGCAACAGTGGGTACAAGCTGCTGGGAAAGACCTTAGATGGACCTGTTATGTAGAACAGACTACTTCCAAGTTAATGAAGATTCCTTGTTACAGAGAAGCCAGTACTTCCCAAGTCCTTCTTCTCCCCCAAATCAAGGAGGCCCATTCTAGGAAGTTCTTTCAATTAAGTGCATAGAAGACAGAGGGAAAGGAAAGAATAAGAAAGGAATAAGAAGGAAAGAAAAGGAAGGAGCAAAATTAAAAATTTAGAGGCTAGAAATTCTAAATGCTTACCTCATCTACTCTTCGAAGAAGTCCAGTAACAACCTACAAAGGAGTGTAAGAGATTAACAAGCATTTCCTTTACCTTACAGAATTAGATTCAAATAGAAACCCATAAAATTCATCATCCTGTTATTCCATCTTAACTTCCAATGTAACTGTTTTAAACTTTTTTCTTACTCAAGTCCTATCATCTTACCCTCTGCATTTACAGCTGATGATTTTGCTTTCTTTTACACTAGGAAAATTAAAGTCAGTTTGGAGCCTCTCCCTTGACTCCACTCCTCCAAATTTCTCAGAAACATTCCCTACAGCACTCTTCCCTTTCCTCCCAGAAGAGGTATCCACAATCTTCAATAAAGCAAATAATCCTTCTTCCTATAACCTAGGTACAATTCCCCTCCTCTTAATTTTTTCAAGTTTATTCAAAACTAAATTATCAGCCTGTCATTTTCAGACCAAAACAATGCCAGCAACAAACATTAAATACTGTCAAGCTTTACTTCCATGACTTTGCCCATCTCATCCCTCAAAGCCTACAAATCACTTTCCCTACATACCATTTCCTGCTAGAACACTTCCCCTCTTTCCAGGCTCTGGTTAGGTCCAACTTCCTATGTTTCTGACCCATGTAATTAATTAACATTCCTTCTCAAATTACATTATGGTTACTTGTTCTGAAAGTTGTATTCCCCAATAAATGTGACTATTTTGAGTACAGGTACTGTTTATAATTGTTCTTAAAAAACGTTTTGTCCTTGTATCTCCCAAAATATTATAGCTTAGTTGACATTTATCAAATTGAAGTCATTCTTTCTTAACCTTTACTGCCAAAGAGCCTACTTGACATTTTCCTGACCTGATCAAAGTATCATGTAATTTACTGAAAAACAATTATTATACTACAAAAACAATTATTCAAGTTATTAGTACAGCCTTTCAAAAAGGATCTTTGGGAAATAAAGAGAGTGTCCATCAATTAGAAAAAGGACAGAAAACTATGTTGTATGAAGATAATGGGAATATTATTGTACAGTAAGAAGTGAAGAACAGGAGAAATTCAGAAAAACAGGCTAAGATGTGTATGACCTATTACACAGTGAAATAAACAGAACCAAAAGAACAACATACATAAAAAATTATTACAACATTGTATTTCAAAATATTACTGAAAAGAAGCCAAACTGAGTAAATGAAAAACCACTGATGGTCCTAGAGAAGATACTCTGCCCAGGAAGAGAAGCAAGTGCCAAGGGAAAATGCTGTCACATGATCAGATACAGTCCCTCTGTCAAGTGTTTTGTTTAATTGTTTTTCTTTGCTACAAAGGAAGGTTCAAAGGGAGAGAGGGACAAAGGAAGAGATCTCCCAGGAACAACTGTGATGTAAAGACAAAATGCACCATCAACAAAACGTGTTAAAAAGATCTCTAAAACAGCTCACAGAATTTCTAATACAAGCATCAGACAGAATTCTAACTATTGCAGTCTTCTTGTTTTGTGATCTGGGAGGAAAAGGAACCAAATTATACCAGATAAAGCCTGAAATAAGGTACTGATGTCCATTAGGCAGCAGCCAAAGAGTAGAGCAGTGGCAAGGAATGCATCTTTGTGTCTTTAATAGCTTTCTGATATTTAATTAATGATGTCAGAGTTTGCTGCAGAGAAATGGCAAACCTTTCAATGCAAAAGGTTCACTGCCTTTATGACACTAAATGTAATATTTTTTTTTAAAAAGTAGATACATATATTTGAAAAGAAAAATCAATGTTGGCATAAACAGGTAAGTCCACTCTACATACAATAAGAAGGGGTACTGGACAGGGTAAACTAAGGTTCGCTTATATGTCATGTCATAAAAATTTCTCTCACAGTTGACTGCTATCACAATAAAAAAAGTTTTTGCCATTTTATCTCATGCCTAAATGAAATGTATTAAACTTACATGGAATGAAAATTTGTTCTTGGGATGAAGGTTTTAGAGATGTGGGCGAACAGTACAGCAGAAATTTTACCACTACACACATTTCAGAAAGTTGTAACTATCCTAAAAATTAGAGCTTAGAAAGAAATGGTTTTTCTGGAACATAACCATCCCTCAGTGGCAACATACTGACACATGGTGTCCATTTCCTCCATCTTCAATATCCCTTCAAACAGCAAAACAGTCCTACCTCCTGCAGAGTTCCATCTCCACCTGCGACAATGATCATGTCTGTGTTTTCCATTAATTCTAACAGCTTCTTGGCTTGTCCTTCATAATCTGTCTAGAATGGAAATAAAACCCTGGCTCAGTTGATCAATCCAAGGACTACAAATGCCCAAAGTTTAAAATATTGGACTTTTAAGTTAGCCAGTCACCCCTCAAAAAGTAATTGATTGATAACTAAAATGTTAACAAACTAATAATTGGGCCTGAGCCCTGGAAAAGACCTCAGAGATTTCTAGCCTTATATTTTGTATGTGAAGAAAACAAGGGCCAGAGAAGTTAAATAACTTATCTGAAAGTGTATGGTCAGGACCAGGGACAGGTGAGGAAACCAAGCTCCTAGCTTCCAATGCAACTGTTCATTTCATCACTACATTTATTCAAAACTTTTCTTTTTAAAGCATTATGGAAACTAAATGCACAGGTGTGGGTATACACTATTATTCCACAGGTATGTGCAATAATCACAAGAGAATATTTTCTTCCAAAGGACAGCAAAGATAGTTCTATGCTATTTGGGAGGGGAGCAATGTCTCTACTTAGCTATCTATAAAACTGCAATATAAAATCCTAAACACATATAGACAGTATTTGTATCTGCTCAGAGCTAAGTATCAACCTATAGAGGCCACTTAAAAAAATGAAATGTGCTTATCTTTGTGGCAGAGCAATACTTTAAAAGTCACCAAGGAACTAAAAGAAATGAAATCCATATCCAACTGTGACTATGTGGGGAACATTTATATGGGCAAAACCTAGCTGTACACTAGCTGCAACAAATCCAGGTGAAACAATAGTTTAGAGATGACTCTGGGGCCTAGTTTTTTACTCAAGGGAGTGAAATTGATAGCACATACTAAGCATTTGATCACAGAAAGAAGTTACAGTGTAAGTCTGGGGAACTAGTTTTTAAAATACATGTGTGCAGCATTCTTGTTTTAGGAGCTCTGTGCAATAAGCTGATAAAAATAGAGTTTAGAGTAAAAATACAAATGCAGCCTTATAAAAAAGTTAGCAAGACAGAATTACATACATATGTCTATTGATCTCTAAAGAGTGACTCATCACCAACATGTAACAAACACTTCACAGTTAGATTTATAGTAAGTTTACAGGAGTCTCTGAAATAGTATTATTCCTTTTTGTTTTTCCCTCTTCCTCAGTCAAATCATTGAGCACTCAAGGGTCATCATTTGGAGTTCCTTCTACAGAAAGAAGGGAATATCTGTCTGAGGGCTAAGGTTATACAGTCAGGTACTGAAATGATCCTGAGGCCTTAAGAATTTTATACTTTCAGAGGGAAAGGAAATTCTCACGGTTATAACAGTGCTTGCCATCCAAGAAGCAATAATTTCATAATATGATGCCAAAGATAGACCAGTGAGTATTTCGACTTTTGCTTTTCAGCATGCCTGAGAAGGTAAAATCCTCTCTCACTCTCTTCCTGCCTATTATGCAGTTTTGGTTTCAAAGGAGCAAAAGGACCTGTACACAGGGTTTCTGGATTGTTGTGATTCCTCTCTGAGGAACTGTGGATAACGCAAAAGTTTAAAGTTACCAAGGGATGGAAGATGGCCACACTGACTGATTTATATAAGGAAGAAGATTAATTCTTTAAATTCAATTCAATAAGCATTTATTAAGTGCTTACTATTGCTGAGTATCAAAAAGAAGCAAAAGACAGTCTTGCCTTAAATGTTAGGATGCTAGCTCCTTATTAGCCACCATGCTGCCCTAATCAGAAACCAACCCTTGGAGGATTTATTCTTTTCATACACAGAACTCCTGCCCTGATGTCCCACTGCCCTGACTGTTGGTTGTCACTAGAACCTACTATATCTAGACCTGGCCCCAGCAACAATTCAACAATTCATTATACTTCCCAGCCAGCATTAAGTCTGTCATGTTCCTAGAAAGGATGTGTCAATCTACTCCCCCATGGCTCTACTCACCATCTCCGTAATTTTCCCTTTTTTTTTTTTTGAGGCAATTGGGGTTAAATGACTTGCCCAGGGTCATACAGCTAGTGATTATCATATGTCTGAGGCCGAATTTGAACTCAGGTCCTCCTGACTTCAGGGTTGGTGCTCTATCCACCGCATGACCTAACTGCCCCTCTAATTTTCCAAACCACAAACATCCTTCTCTGGCCACTACTTCCCTATATATGTTGTCTCTCCATATTGGAATAAAAGCTCTTTAAGGTCAGGGACAAGTTTCATTTTAGTATTTGTATACCTGGTGTTTAGCACAATTCTTGGCACATAGTAGATACTTAATAAAGGACTATTCAAGAGGTATAGAGACATAGGGTGGACTGTTCCATGGGTACATTTTGTGTAAAGGTACATTGATGAGTTGGTCTCACCTTGACTACAGTCACATCCATGCCAGATAAGTGTAAAATTGGGGCAGCATTCTTTTCAAAAAGATTTCTGGCTTTTCTGTAGATAGAGAAAAAGCAAGAAAAAATATTTTAACAAATTTTTCAAAGGGAGATTTAAAAGCCCATAACATCCTCTATAGAAAAGGATGTGAAATAACACCATGGACCTTTTAAGGCTTTACTCCATCCACTGAATTAAAGGAAGTCCAAAACTCAGAAAATTTACTAAATAAATCATTCTTTGACCCAAAGATTCCACAACTGGCATTTGCCCTCACGAGGTCAAACACAGAAAAGTCTCATATATGCTAAAATATTTATAGCAACACTTTTTGTGGTAGCAAGAAACTGGAAACCAACACGTGCCCACCAACTGGGAAACAGCTGATAAACTGTGATATATGAATGCAATTAAATATTACTATGTTATGGAAATAACAAGTATAAAGAATTCAGAGGCACAAAGAAAGTAGTACCAGGAAAAGAATATAAACAATGAATTCAACAACATAAATGAAAACAATGCTAAAAGGAGGCTAAACTCAGATTAATTTGCAATGAACAATTTTAGATCCAAAGAACTGAGGACTCAAGTCTATTCTCAGTAGAAAAATAGGGGACAATTTAATGTTGTACATGCACTTCATCCATTTGTTTTTGTTTCTAGGGAAGGCATGATTTAAGGAAATAACTGTGAGGTTAAAAAATACATTGATCCATTTCTCTAGCTGGCTAGTTTCTAACACTGAGATACTATGATGATAGAAAAACAGACTATTTTCACCACTAGGAACAGTCAGATGGGTACTGGTTCTTTCCCAAATGGAACTAAGTGTTCTAGACAAAAAAATAATACTGGAGTGAAATCCACTCTGATTAGTTGCCCTCCACATTCTAGCTCCTACTCTGTGCATTCACATAAGCCATCTCCCATGTCTCAAAAACACTGCCTCAGCTCCAACTTTCAGACCTCTTACCTTGCTTCCACCAACCCTAATTCACTTGCTACCACTTGAGAAGCTTTTCCTGATCCCCTCACTTGTTAGTGTTCAACGAAATTATGTTTACTTATCTGAATACACACTGTATCTCTCACAGAATGCAAGCATCTTGTAAACAAAAACTTTTGTTTTTGTTCTCAAGTCCCCTTAGCATAGTACTGTGCACACAGAAGACACTTAATAAATGTCTACTGAACAGAAATGAAACATACCCAAGACCCAAGAGATAGAGAAATGACTTGTATCAATGAAAAAACTCTACACTACACTTTGTGTTCAATCTTACTTTGCCCCTTTCAGATAAGGAAGGGCTCATCTGATGCCCTCTCTCCCACCCCTTTCTCCACATCTGTATATTCTTCTTCTCATGTATTCCCAGTTATGAAAAATACCAGGCAAAAGCTGCAAATTATATAATTACATGTGGAATCAATTACCAGAAGTCATCTGAATTTTTACACTAATAGCTGAAGCAGATGAGAGACTCAAGGGCACTTAAGAGCAAATCCAGCATTATTTGTAATGGAAAAACATTGGAAGCTTTCCCATTAAAATCAAGGGTAAAATAATGATGCTCACCATCACCAATACTATATGATATAATGTTAGAAATGCTAATTTGCTGCTTGGTGGAGCTGTGAATTAGTCTGGCCAGTTTAGAAAGCAATATAAAATTACACAACAGATATTACAAAATTGTTCATGCTTTTTGATATAAATGATCCTACTACTAGGTTTATACCCCAAGAAAATCATTAGTAGGAAGAAAATGCCCTATCTGTAAAAAAAACAATCACATCAGTAATATCTGTAATAACAGAAGTTGGAAAATATGTGTCCAATGAGGGACTGGAAGACAGCCTAATAAAATGTGGTATATTGTGTAGTAAGGAATAGCAAACATGAAGAATTCAAAGAAATATGGCAGGTTTATATTAAGTGATACAGAGTGAAAAAAGCAGATGCAGAGGAATAATTTATACATTGACTACAACTATGTAAATAGAGATAAAAGAAATGACAACTTGGGTTATACACAAGAGATGATGTTGGTACCTGAAACCATGAACCACCACTTGCTTAAAAAAAAAGTATAATAAATTTTACATGTCATATTCAAAACTGTCCCATAGTTGTCTGTGCTTTCTTCTGAATTTCCTTCTATTCTCTTCTGTGCATTTTCAAAAGTATTATAATGGTCATCTTTTTTTTTTAAAGCATCTCTACTGCACCCCCATCCCCACCCCAATTTAAAACAGAGAAATAAAGAAAAAAAAATTCTTGTGTCAAATAAGGCTGGTCAAGCAAAATGAATCCAAACAGTGGCCATAGCCCAAAACATCTCTGCTCCTTGTGTCTCTCACCTGATAGGACAAATGGTAAACAAGCTTCATCAGAGGTTCTCTGGTGCCAGCCAACCAGCATTTATTAAGAACCTATTATGTACCAGGCACCATGTCTAGCATTGGGGATACAAAGAAGGGCAAAAAGCAGTCCCTGCTCTCAAGTAACTCAGAGTTCTGAAGTCTTTCACATTTGTTTTTCTTTATAATATTCCTATTTTTGCATAAATGGTTCTTCTGGTTGAGCTGGATTCACTCTGCTTCAGTTCATACTACCCAGGATCCTCTGAAACTATCTCCTTTGTCATTTTTTTATGATGCAATGATATTCCATTACATGCATATACTACTTTTTTCCAGCCATTTCCCAACTGTCTAAGAGGCAATCTAAGACACTCCAATTTGACTTGACTCCTTTTTCTCCCCTCCCCCACATCACTGCTTCTGCCAAGGAAGTTTATTTTGCTTGTGCTTATTCCCTCCCCAATATTATCCTCCCTCCCAACCTCCTCCTTATTCCCCCTACTTGTTTCCCTCACTGTGATGCAACTCTACACTACACTCTGTGTTCAATCTTACTTTGACCCTTTCAGATAAGGGAGGGCTCATCTGATGCCCTCTCTCCCACCCCTTCCTCCACATCTGTATATTCTTCTTCTCATGTATTCCCAATTATGAAAGATACCAGGTTGTACATCCTTCTTCCTCCTTTCTACTGTGTTTCTCCTTCTACCCCTCTATTCTCTTTCTTCTCTTCAAACTCTCAAAACAGAATCAATCTACTCTCTGGCTTATTGTTTTTTTTGTTTTGTTTTGTTTTTAATTTAACACCCTTTGAAGACATGGGGGGACACTTGTTTTTTCTCCCCCTCATAGTGTTCTTTCCCAATGCTCAAATCAATTTACCTCTCTAGGTTTCTCTAGACTCTTTTGTGTTTATATTTTAAAATTCCCACTTAGCTCTGCTCTTTTTCATCAGAAAGGCTTTAAAGTCTGCTATTCCACTTTTTCCCCCTATGGTATCATACTCAGCTTTGTCAAGTAAGTTATTCTGGTTGTAAACCTATCTTATTGGCCTTTTAGAATATTATATTCCAAGAGATCTGGTTTTTAGTAAAATAATGATAATAGCTAACATTTATATAGTAACCTATTATGTGCTAGGAACTATGCTAAGGGCTTTTTACAAATACTGTATCATTTGATCCTCACAACAACCCTGGGCAGTAGGTGCAATCACTATCTCCATTTTACAGATGAGGAAACTGAGGCAGGTAGTGGTTAAGTGACTCCTCCAATGTCATATAGCTAGTAAGTGTCTAAGGCTGGATTTGAACTCAGGTTTTCCTGACTCTAGGCCCAGTGTTATAACCACTGTGCCCCCTGGCAGTAACATTTATTCAACTGCAATACCATAGCTCTCATGGAACTTACTGTCCCCTATAACAGCACTCCATGAAATCATGTTTCTCTAAAACTAGCTAAAACACTAGACCAAGTAGACCTGTATAATGCTATTTTATTGCTTGTTCTATCAGCTGATTTTTTAGACTAGATATATTTTTCAAATATTTTATTTCAGGGGCAGGTAGGTGGCACAATGGCTACAGCACCGGCCTGAAGTCAGGAGTACCTGAGTTCAAATCCGGCCTCAGATCAAACACTTGACACTTACTAGCTATGTGACCCTGGGCAAGTCACTTAATCCCAATTGCCTAAAAATTAAAAAAAAAAGAAAAAGAAAAATTTTATCTCAGTTGTAGGATAAACAGACTATTCTTTTCATCTGATTTTTTTTATAACTGCTATGGTTGCTAAAATATTACAAAGGGTTGAAGAGAAGCTGTGCTTCTCTAATCCATCCTACAAATAAGTCAAGGGGACGGACTAGTGATATTTCAAATACTCACAAAGCATGAAGAGCTTACTCTGTGCTGGATAATACACAGTGATGAAAATAGTCCCTCCCCTCAAGGAGCTTATATTCTACTTGCTGTGTGTTCAAGTTGGGCCAAGATGAATTAAAAAAAAAAGTCCTTGAATTTGAATAATGTGTGCATTTTCTAAACGTGACTAGATTTAGGTAGGCTGCTCTTTAGTTTAAGTTCCTTAAGGAAAGGAATGTTTTACAAATGGGAAAAGGACGCACACATACAAAAATATTCATAGCAGCTCTTTTTGTGGTGGCAAAGAATTAGAAATTGAGAGGATGCCCATCCATTGGGGGAATGGCTGAGCAAGTTGTGGTATATGAATGTAATGGAATACTATTGTGCTATAAGAAATGATGAACAGGCTGACTTCAGAAAAACCTGGAAAGACCTATATGGTCTGATGCTGAGTGAAGTGAGCAGAACCAAGAGGACTTTGTACACAATAACAGCCACATTGTGCAATGACTAATATTGTTAAACTGAACCCTTCTCAGCATTACGAGGATCTAAGACATCTCCAGAGGCCTCAGGATGGAAAATGCTGTCCACATCCAAAGAAAGAACTATGGAAGTCGAATTGCTATCACTTATTTTTACCTTCTGTTGAGTTTTGTTTCATCTTTCTGATGGTTCCTCCTATTGGTTTTAATTTTTACTTACAACTTCACTAATGTGAAAATATGTTTAATGGGTATGTAAATGTAAAGCCTATATCAGATTGTGTGCCGTCTTGGGGAGGGTGGGGGGGAGGAAGGGGGAGAAAAATTTTCAACTCAAAAGCATACGGAAGTGATTGTTGATAAATCAAAATAAATTAATAAAATTTTTTTAAAAATAAAAGAAAAATGAAAGAAAAAAGGAAAGGGATGTTTTATTTGCTTTTGTATCTCTTCACTTAGCACAGTGAAATACAAACACTCACACACATACACGTATGTATATATATGTGTGTATACACACGTATATATGCAATACATATGTGTATACACATGTGTTTCTATTTCAAAATGATGTATACTGAATAAAGTCAGTCACCTTGATTTTGTCAGTAGGCTGAATGTAAATCACGTGGTGAGCTGACATATCTTTGTATCCTTGTTACTTTTGTAAATACAGCCCTTGTTCATCTTACCAATTTAATACTGGGCACTATCCTGAATCTGAGTATTCAACAAGTTCTCAACCTACCATGTAGGCCACATCTTTATGTCTTGCATAGAAGCAATATGGCATATTGGACCTGCTTTGGCCTTGGGGTCAAGAAGACCAGGTTCAAATACTATCTCTGACATTTAGTATCTGATCAAATTACTTACTCTGGTTCTCAGTTTCTTCATCTGTAATACAAAGGGGCTGGACTCAATGACCTCTAGGGTACCTAATAGTTCTAAAGTATATAATCTTTTCCACAAGAGTGAGCAACATTATTGGAATGAGTGTGGTCTTCCAAGATGACCACCCTATCAATACATTTCTCAAAAAGAAAATTAATTTTAATAGTAACACCTCATAGTAACAATACTTAAGCACAAGCCAGGTTAAAGGGGCCATAACTAACTTCCTGTTACCAATAGTTTTATATATCTGCCTCTCTCTGATCCTGGCTACCTGGTCAGAGTGCCAAAGTCTGACTAAAAGAAAAGTAAGAAATTTGCTTCTTTTGACTTCTCCCTATGGTTTTCATTATCTTTTTGAGTTATAATCGCTCCTTATTAACTCTGACTATCTAAAACTCTTCTCTAGTACCTCATCACGGTGTGGTGGTAACCTTAGGTTCTCAAAAGCAACGACAATCAAGTACTGGTAAGTCTTATAAGCCCCTCTAGGTCCTCTGATTAATTTAATGTGTCTGAAATCAAGCTAGCTCAATTAAAAAGGCTCAGCCCCTGGGCAGGTTCAGGGCAATTCATGTTTCAACTATGACCATACTGGAAGATTATCTATGTTGTCATCAAAGGGATCTGACTGAAACCAGTGGAGGAATGCTCCAGATCTTTGAGGTAGTTAAGTAAGTAATTTATATTTTATAAAATACACACACACTTACCCTTTGCAAGCTGCAGGGTTGAGAAAGACAGTTGCCTTCTTCACTTGTGCATTGGAAGGAATGAGTTGATTTCCAAATACCTGAGAAAGATAATAAATGTTTTAAAAATGGATTTTCCCTTGTCCTTTAGTTACAAAACATATTATTTTGTGCCAAAATAACTAATTCTCAATCTATACTGCACTTAGCCTTACCAGAGATGAATTGAATGCCTTCATGTTCTCATATTTACAAACTGCAGCATGCCTAAATGTCACATGACAATAACTATTTACTCAATCCTATAAACTCTCACCTATGAGAGGCAGAATGAAATGACCCTCTCACTGTGGGTAGAAACTGTCTTGGTTGTTACTGCGCATGTAAAGTACTAAAATTATGAAAGTTTTAGAACAGGATTACTGGAAATGACCTTCTCTGTAGTGGGAGTGGGGGCCAACTTGTCAATGACCTGTTCCCTTGAGGCAGTAAGGGAAAATCAACAGGTGGGTATGAACAGCTAGGATCCATTAGGTGGACAACAATGAGTCTTCTGATGAGACCCGACCTTGGATAGCCCTGTGATGCTGGATGATTCACCATGCCCAATGGCTCCCAAGGCTGGAGTAGGAGTGGGCAGAAAAAAGATTGCACAGGGTTAGGAGATGAGAAATAACTAGGTCTGGACAATTTTGTGCTGATAACTGTCTTAATGGTCCTTCAAACGGCTAGGGCCAAGGTGCCAGGACAGGGATTAGTCTTCATACTAGAAAAGGGAAGAAACCCTACTATGGACTGGGTCTGATGCTTGAAATCAATAAAGCTACTGACAACCATATGGACTGGGTATGGTCAAGACATATTCACAAATAAATTCAATTCGACAAGAATCAACTGAATGTCTACTATGGACCAGGTACTGGGGAAACAAAGACAAAAATGAAACAGTCCCTGAGCTTAGGGAACTTGTGTTCTAGCAGGAGTGAAAAAACACGTACACAAATAAATAAAAATAAAATAAATACAATTGTTTTGGGCAGAGAGGGAAAACATTAACAATAAACCTATGTCACAGAGTCTGTGACAAATGTAGCCTCGGCCGAGTCCTCTAAGCCCTAAATCATTCCTTGTCAAATCCCAGGATCTTGGTGATTAGAAGTCAAAGGATTCTGACATAGGGATAGGAATGAGAATCTAAGAGTCAAGTTGAAAGTAGATGAAGGTTATTTTAGGTCAACCCAAATTTGACCATCTTAAGTTTTTGTTCCTTATTCTATCTGCACTCCATTAATTTTTTCATATGGTTTTTCAACTCCAACTTTATCTTGTGTAAATTAAGAGAAGGCAGGTTCACAGACATCTGGTTTGCAAAGTACAAAACAAGTTAACTTTCTTTCAGATTCCCAGGCACTGGAAGGAAAAACCCTCCAGTGAAGCAGATTTAAAATTGAGCAACAGAAAACTTTTCCTAGCCTCCCAAGGGCATTTTATCGTAAGAAGTTAATTTTAACCTCTTTTCCCCCTCTCCTGGACAAGAAATATCAAGAGGCATGATCAAGAAGACATGGCTAGAGAGGCCATAGTCTGTCAGAGGGGAAATTAAATCCATTTACCATTTCCTTGGTCTTTAAAGTATTATCCTTATCTCTTTAATTACAAAAGTATTTATATGGAATGTTGGGTGTTTACTAGACAATTTTTATGTTATATATAAAAACCTATCAGTCTACTACCTCCTTTTCATAACCTTGTAGTAGTCATTCTACACTCCTAACAAAGCAAAGAGACAGATCAGAAAAGAAGATATAAGATATAAAAAAGAATCAAGAGGCAATGAGAATACAAGGACAAAAGGTGGGGCTAGGAGGGGGCAGGGAGGCATGTCAGAGTGGGTATACAAAACGGAAGAATTGTTAGCTTTTGTGGATGAAGAAAAATACTAGAATGAGGCTGAAAGTGGAAGCAGGAGGAGATCTTTCAAAATTAGCAAATCAAGGTGAAGAAAGAATCATAAGCAACAAACAGTTAACAAGAAAAAGACTAAAGTAACCACACAAAGAGGAGAAAATATGAACGCTACATTTAAGCAACTGCTCTCTCTCTCTCTCTCTCTCTCTCTCTCCACACACACGTATGTATGTATGTATGTGTATGTGTGTACGTGTGTGTATACACACATATACATATGTACATATATACACACATACACATACATACACACACACCTCCTTTTGGTCTTCATTATCTATATTCTTATCGTTAAGAACAAATACTCCCTGAATGATTCAGGTAGTGGTATAATCCAAACAAGTGATCTCCTCTCCCCCTTAAAGAAGAAGATATAGGTAACAGAAACAGCTAGTCTACCCGAAAGATTCATGAGCATAACTTCCAACCCAACCCAGTATGACAGAAAAGGAATTCTACCAGCCTCCTTAAATAGCTTGCCCATGATCAGTGCACACAAAACGTACTATAGTTCTGTTGGTGCACTTGAAAAAGGCTCAAGCCTTTTACCTCCCAGAGTATAAAACAATGCTGCTTCCGGCAGATGCTACTGCTAGAGCCTAGTCTGCAATCCTGGAAAGAGACAAGGAGGCACAGTGTTGCTTTGCTATGCAGGGGCCAAACGAGGCAGCTGAAAACTCAGCTGCCACAGAACCCCTGTACATGTGTCTTTGCACACTTTTTGCACATATCATCAATAAATTCTATGGTGAGACTTAAGCAGCATGTGGTTGTTCCAGAGCACACAGTACTTAATAAATGCTTCTGACGGACAACTAAGTCAGAGTGAATTTAGAAAAACAACTTGTTCTTTTTGTAATCTGGAAGAAGATTCTTCCTCCAGCCATGTCTGAGTCCTCAGGAGCCAGACTATAAAACAAAGGGTCTCCCAGGTTTGGTTGAAAAAAGTAGTTTTACTTTTGGAAGTGTAGTATGGATAAAAGGCTCCAGACAGTTTGGTCTAGTAGGGCTATGGCCTAGTTAGGGGAGATGTTGATTATTAGGATAAGTCATCCTCCCTAATTCTGGCCAGAAGGTTCTGAATTTCATGTTGGGGTTGGGGATCAGGGGGAGGGGAAGGGAGAGAAGGGAAAGGGGACCCAAGGATAATCTAGTGCCTACGGTTAACTGAGGGTCAATTTGGACAAAATGAAGTCTGCCTTCAGTAACCCACATTCATTTCAAATGATATGCTGTGGTAAGCAATGCATCTACCAGCCTTGGAGAAGAAGAGGAAGGGAAACGCACATATATAGCGCCGCCTAAATGCCAAGTACTGTGCTGAGTGCTTCACAAATATCTCATTTGATCCTCATGACAACCCTGTGAGATGGGTAGTGCTATTAGTATTCCCACTTTACAATTAATGAAACTAAGGCAGACAGGGGTTAAGCAATTTGCCCAGGGTCACACAGCCAGTGTTTGAGGAGAGATCTGAACTCAAGTCTTCCTGACTCCAGGCCCAGTGATCTATCCAATGGAGCACCTGGCTGCTTCTAAGAATACCAAGATGAGGGGCAGCTAGATGGTACAGTGGCCTTGGAGTCAGGAGGACCTGAGTTCAAATCCAGCCTCAGACACATAACACTCACTAGCTATGGGACTCTGGGCAAGTCACTTATCCTGACTGCCTCATAAAAAACATAAAACAAAAAGATATAAAAGGAGAGGGAAGTAAAGAAAGAGGGTAGTCTGACTCTGTGACCCCTTTTGAGGCTTTCTTGGCAAAGATACTGGAATGCCATACCATTTTCTTCTCCAGCTCATTTTATAGATGAGGAAACTGAGGCAAAGAGGGCTAAGTGACTCAACCAGGGTCACATAGCTAGAAAGTATCTGAGACCAGATTTAAACTCAGGAAGAGAATCTTCCTGACTCCAGGTTCCTGCACTCTATCCACTGCACCACCTAGCTAACCCTGTAGCCTACCACTTTCTGATAGGATGAGGACTTCTTGTTTGCCAAGGTCACTGAAAATCTTTAGGGTAAATTTGGAAACTTTTTCACTGATCCTTGATTTAATCCAACTCTAGTGGGATCCACAAGCCTTATTAGAAAGTTCTATTCTACCAAGAGAATGTTGTACACAATAACAGTGATGTTGTGCGACGACTAATATCGATAAACAACCCTTCTCAGCAATACAAGGATCTAAGACATCTTGTGATGGAAAATGCTATCCACATCCAAATAAAGAACTATGGAAGTTGAATTGCTATTTTTTTTTCTCTTCTGTTGAGTTTTGTTTCCTCTTTCTGATGGTTCCTCCTATTGGCTTTAATATTTACTTACAACATCACTAATGTGAAAATATGTTTAATAGGAATGTAAACGCATAGACTATATTAGATTGTGCACCATCTTGGGGAGGGTAGTGGAGAAGAAGGAAGGAGAAAAATTTTAAACTCAAAAGCATATGGAAGTGATTGCTGATAAATCAAAATAAATAAAATAAATTTTTAAAAAAGAAAGTTCTATTCTAGCTTAACTATTAGTATTATAAAATTCCTTCTGAGTTGGTATAAGCTTAGACACTTCAGGCCAGCTTAGTGCTAAAAGCCCTTCCATTTTCCCAACAACGATAATGGCTTTTTTCTTTACTTTTCAGCCAGTTTTCTCACTTATTCTAATTCAAATGTGGGCTATTTATTTGTCTAAATTTTTTAGATCAGGTTAGTTAGAAAGATATCCTTCTAGACTTCTTAATTTATAAGCAAGGAAGATTTGCTGTTAGTGAGCTATGCTCACTCTCCAAAGAGCTGAAAAAGGGAGATTATGGCCTCATAGCTACAACTCTAAACCAGCCTGGTGAAACTGCATGACTGCCACTATCCAATCAGGAGCAAGTAACTTTCTCCTTTCTTAAAGCAATCATCTTCCCTCTCCCAAGAGGATTTCCAGTCACTACCTGCTAGCTTAGCTGTTACCTGCAATTTCTATTAAAAAAACACTTTGCCAAACAGCTGAGGTGGCACTAGCACCTGAAATATTTATGGCCTGTTTTGTAAAGGCTGTGTTGGCAAGAAGGTTCCTCAGAACTAACTGAAAAAGAAATGTCCTCATCAGAACAAAACATTTCTAAACAATACTTTCAAACAGAAAACTTGACAAGGTTTTAAAATGGAGTTAAAGTAGTTTTATCACTCCCACTTTAGTGGGAATCTATTAATAGTATGAAACGTCAGTGTAATCTATGAAAATATTTCAGTAACCAAATGTGAATTTGTCTATCACCCACCTCTCCAGCTCAATGTACTGTTCTCTTTTCCATTGATGACTTTAATGATTCTTTTTTTGTATTTCTGACATGATAAGCTTAATGGACACTTAAGGTATTCTCAAAACGTCACCAAACTCCTTGAAACTTTCCACTCATCTTGATTAAAGAAAGCTACAGGGGCAGCTAGGTGTTGCAGTGGATAGAGCTCTGGCCTTGGGGTCAGGATGACCTGAATTCAAATCCGGCCCCAGATACTTGACACTTACTGACAGTGTGACCTGGGCAAGTCATTTAACCTGACTAGGCCTCAGTTTATTCATTTATAAAATGAAGGAGTGCATCAGAAGACTTCTAGTGCCCTTTCACATTCTATGGTCTAATGCTAAGGGGAGCAAAATACAAAGTGAACGTGGTGCTCTCTTGTAAATTGCAGTTAAATGTGGCAATTTCCCACAGGGATAAAACATACGTCTAGAACAACAAAAAGAATCTTGAAATGGGTTTTAACAATATCAATTAATAAACTTGGAGAGCAGGGACAGCTAGATGGTGCAGTGGATAGAGCACCAGCCCTGAAATGAAAAGGACCTGAGTTCAAATTCGGTCTCAGACCAAACACTTGACACTTACTAGCTGGGCAAGTCACTTAACCCCAACTGCCTAAAAAAAAAAAAAACCACCTTGAGAGCCAAGTCCCAAAGTGGTAGTACTACATGTAAACAAAATCCTCAAAGTTCATCTAGATATAGGGATGGCCCACAGCTGAAACAGTCCTTCAGAGGTCATTCCATGTAAAGGCAAACCTAAGGAGCCCAAGCTATGCCAAATATATAGCCCTGGGGTTATTATTTCAGTCTTTTATTTTTTTCCCAGTTGGGTCCAGCTCTTTGTGACCCTATTTAGGATTTTCTTGGCAGAGACACTGGAGTGGTTGGCAATTTCCTTCTCCAGCTTATTTTACAGATGAAGAAACTGAGGCAAACAGGGTTAAGTGACTTGCCAAGGGTCACAAAGCTAGTAGTGTTACTATAGAACCAAATAAATTGGGGGGGGGGGAAGGAAGCGTTGTTGTGAACCAAAGAGTTAATCTGCCAGTATTCCATTAAGAGCTGGTTCACAGCCTGAGGCAGCCCCTCATTTTAGGAAGAAATAGCCCCAACTCCAGTGATGTGAGACACTGTATCCAGCCAAAGACCCTGGAATAGTCTGTGGCTGAAGTACTGCACCACTGAGATAAGAAAGGCAGGATTTAATTTTATCACACTGAATGTATTACCTGGGCTTCTTGACAGGCTGCTCTCCTTAGTAGGTTATCACTGTCAAGGTAAAAGAAAAAAGGAAAGGGACATTAGCTTTCAATAAAAAGTTTAGGATTCAAACTAAAGAGTTTGTTTTGCAAAACATCTGTAAACATTTCTTTCACATTATTACAAAAGTCTTAAGGAGCCGATAGCATAGCATGGAAAAACTTGGAAAAATAACCTCTCTGGAGAAAATTCTCTGTTGGTTATTTCTACAATCTCCATTTTATTCCTTCCCCAGCTGACTGATCTGGTCATTGGATAATGATGAAATAATTTGTTTCTTAAACTGTTTTCTTTTCCCTGCTATTTCATTTAAAGTCAGACTTCTCTGTCTTTTCTAGTGTCACTGTCCATGTTATCATAAGTAGAACACTTTTGGCATAACATAAAGATCAGTTTGGAAAAAAATTCAAAGGAGGCTGTCAGAAAAAGTTCATCTATTTAGCCTCAAGGTTTTTAAGAAGCTTTTAAATACAGTTTGCGTCATTATGGCACTAAGCAGCTCTTCTGGCTAACAATTCCCCAATCTTTTCAATGGAAGGCTCAGTGCAGAATGGACATAATTTGCTGGTAGTACTAAGATAACAATTTCAAGTGGTTCTAGGCCATTATTGAAATCTGTACTTGGACTGGGCAAACAAAAGGCAACTCATTAAAAAAATGAATAAATAAAAGGAAAAAAAGATCATTATACCTTCAGTCTTTTCTTCTCTACGCTTTTCCATTAACATTATGTACTTAGTATTCTTTACATTTCAACACAAATTCAAATCCATTTTTTGTATCTATTATTGAACTAAAAGAAAGAAAATAAACAGTTTCTTGTTCTTTACCACAGCTACAGGGAAGGGCTTACTTATTTTCTTTATGATTCAGCAACACTGGAAAAAAACACCGTGCTAACCTCTAAGAATCTCTAAACTCCAAGTTAAATAATGTCACTCATCTGGGAGGTATAAAAGCTGCTAGTTTGAATGATATCATCTAAGAACAAAGTTTCATTAAAATTCCAATGAAACAAGAAGGCTACTTGCCTAGCTGGCTTTGCAACACGAATGTAATTTAGTGCAACCACAGGACCCTGGACAGAAGGTCCCTAAATCTGAGTTCCCTAAAGCTCTGTTCTAATTCTTCTGTTCTCTCTTCTTTCTACACCCTCTTTTGCTCATCACCTTTCGTGGATTCAATTGTCACTTCTATAAAGATGATTCCCAAATCTGTATTCAATTCCAAAACCAGTCCTAATCTGTGTGACCTGAACTCTAGTCACACATCTGCTCCCTGCTAGACATCTTCACCTAGATGTTCTTTGAGCATCTTATTTAAAAGTCCAACACAAAACACACCCAGCATGTGCCCTTGTTCCCCTGAAAAACATTATCAACAACAAATCAAGTGTTCCTCCAAACTCTCTATGTCAGTTGAGGGCATCACCATACTTCTAGTAAAACAGGGTGACAACTGAGGAGTCATTCTCAACTCTTCCTTCTCCCTCATTCTTCACATCAATCAGCTACTATGTCTTGCTAATTTTACCTCTATAGCATCCCTCACACCCATTCCCTTCTCTTCGATGTCAAAGCTATGATTCTAATTTAGACACCTCCCTGCCCCCCGCTCCCCATCTGAAACAGTCTCTAAACTTCTCCCTCCCTCCTCCTCTCTAATTCATCTTCCATACTGTTGCCAAAATAACTGATCCTAAAGCAAAAGTCACCCTCCTGCTCAAAAATCTAGGCTATTACTTCCAGAATAATACAATGAGTTTTCCACCTGACATTTAAAGTCCTTCATAATTTGGCTCACTTGCCAGAATTATTTCATATTACTCCCTTTACAATCAATCTACTTGCTATTCCCTCAGACTTGGTACTCTGTATCCACTTTGGTGCCATTGCAAAAGCTGCCACCATGCCTGGAACGTCCTCCATTACCTCTCAGAAACCTTGGCTTCATACAAGGCTCAGGTCAGGCACCATCTCATATAAAAAGCCTTTCCTAATTCCTCTTGTTAATTTGTTTGTATGTCAGGTCCACAGTAGAAGATAAGTTCTTTGAGTGAATGGGCTTTTTCCTTCCTGCCTCTGTATGCCCAATGCACCTCATATAATAATGTATGCACAGCACGGTGTATGAGGCAACCCTAGAACAGAAGACTCTTTGCCAAATTCTATCAACATTTGCTTTTGCGACTACATATTAGAAGGCAAATTGTAGCCCAGAGAAGGGAATGTCATATCCATGAGTTTCGATCATATGTGACATAACTTCCAGAGCAATATCCCTTCCTACAAAGGGGGTCTCAAGTAAAGAATTGGAAACACATACACATATTCACATTACATCACTGCTTGCTAATTATATTCCTGAATTTTTGAGGGGCTTCATGATACAAATTTTCCATACCCTATAAATAAGGCTCTTAACCTGGGGTCCATAAACTTCAAAAAAAAATCAATAACTTTTTTTCAATATATATCTTATTTTATGCCTTTAAAAACATTATTCTGAGAAGGGGTTCATAGGCTACAGTCAAAGAAGTCCAGGACACAAAAAAAAACCATGTGTGTCCAATATCCTATAATACTATGCAAAGGCAGGCCCCATATTGTATGTGTATGATCATTTGCAAGGCTAACAAGAAGCTCACTAATCCATTTTTTTGAACCAACCAGTTCTGATGCCCAAAGACCACAAGATATGGATCTTGGGAAGAGAGGGATAAAGAAGCAGGTATCTTGGGGTATAAATCCACAAAGACTTCTTTACCACCTTTTACCAGCTTCCTCATCCATAAAATGAAGAGAAGAATGATGACTTCTCAGGTACCTTTCAGTTCAGATCTTTTATCTTGTAACTGAGCCACTACCTGCACTGGCACCAGGTGACATGGCCAAAGATGTGTCCCCTTAAGGAACTGAATAGATATGAACAAAAAGAGGCTGGAAGCAGCCATGTCTCACCCTATCATAGATAAGCATCTTTGTGTCACTGGAAAAAAATGAAACCAAGGCAAAATGTGGGCTCTGTGATACTGTTTTCACTGCTGTATAAACTTCAGAGACAGGAGGCTTTGACCATTTTGGCAAAATCTGTTAAAATATCTAATCCTTCCAACAGTACCATAGACTTTCACCAGCCCCTACCTAGGTAACATGATGCTACTTAACTGTTCTGGAAAAGTTTTAGCTTGTGGTAGAAGAGCCAATAAACTGTTCATGACCTTTGACTCAAAGATCCTACTATAAGACATATACCCTAAGGAGATCAAAGGCCAAAAGGTTCCATTTTTTACCAAAATATCTGCAGCAGTTCTTTTTGCAGTAGAAAAACAAAAAAGCCTGGAAACAAAAATGGGTAACTACAAAATTGGGAATGGCTGAATAGACTGTGGCATGTGAACATAATGGAATATTACTGAATCCTACAGAATGACAAAGAAGATTCAGAGAACTACAAGAAAACTTGTATGAACTGATGAAAAGTGATGCAAGCAGAATGAAGAAAATAATTCCCACACTAAAATAGCACTAAAAAGGCAACTGACCTCAGGTTAACAGTAATAACCAATCATAGTCCATTAAAACAAAGGATTAAATCCACTTCTCAATTCTCAATAGAGAGGCATAAAATATTGCACACGCTATCAGAAGCTGCTTTGTTAGTTTTGCTTAACCATTTTTGTTGCTCTTGTTGTTACACAGGAGAATACAATGTCGATTTATGGGGAAATGGCAGATGTAAAAAATAATACTAACAAAAGGGGCTCCACAGGGGCATGGGCAGAAGCAAGATGGGCAACTGCCATGGACCCCGCACAGCCACTGGCGGGACCAGAAGTGGCACAACAAGCAGTACAAGAAGATGTACTGGCTTTGAAGAGGTCTAGAGGTTTTTGGGGTGCTGCTGGAACCCCAAGATTGTGGTACCGGGGCCTGCCGGAAAGAATTCAACTCAAATCTTCTTCAGCTAGAGGAAAAGTTTATTAGTGATAAAACATATAGGCCAGGTGTCACCCATAAGGACAAGCGGGCATGAGAGGTTCTCAGCCTTTTGAGATTGAGATTCTCAGCCCGAATGAGGTCCAGGGTAGATCTTATATACTTTAGGTGACCAGGGAAGGGTCGGGGAAAATGGTCTGGGAAAAGGGTCAGGGTGAGAATTGCCAGAGATTAGAATGTCTAAGAGATTGAATAGACAATGGGAATAGATAAGAAGGAACTGAAAGGTATCTGAATGAGATTAAAAGGTAGGCTAAGGCTTTCAAAGGAAGATGAGGGGCTAGGGCCTGTAGACAAGGGGAACCAGATTCCCTTTGGGGCAAGGGGTGAAGACCTGGGCTTGGGCCACACCCCACCAGTTTGACCATGTCACCTCAGTACTCAAAAACTCCAATGGCTTCCTATCACTTCTAGGTTCAGATATGAAGCTCTCCATTTAGCCTTCACAGCCAAAAATAAAAGACCAGTCCCTTCTTTCAAGGAACCTATATTCTAATGGAGGAAGACAATCCACAATAGGAAGCTGAAGTGGGGAGAGGGTTGCTAATGGTTTTGAAGTCCTAGGGGTAGATGGAAATGGCAGTTTTGAAGTTGAGAAAATCAGAAGCAGAGCCAGGAGGCTAATGAAGGCTGGGTAGCTAGGCCACTCCACAAAATGGACGCTTCAAGAAGAACTCATCAACTGGAGATGAGGACTGACTTGGAGAGGGATGTTCTAGGGGGACAAAGCTACAGGAGTGATTGGGTGTTTCAGGGCCAGGTGGACCCCAAGCACTGAGGGAAGATCCAGAAAGAGACAGCTGCTGAGCATGATTTTGAAGTCAGGAGAAAAGTTGGGAGAAGGAAGGTAGAGGAAGCAAAGATAAATTCATATTCAAATCTTACCTCATTAATAAGTCAGAACTGGCTATTAACATGAACCTTTAGAGAAAGTGACCATATTATTTTAGTATTCAAGACAGCCAAGGAGAGGAATTCTTGGTGCAGTCATACACGTCCTAGGCTTTAAGA